ATTAATAAATACCAAAACTTGAATAAAGTAGTTTTTTACATTCATAAATTAAAACTAAACCCTTAACAAGCAAATAAAAGGCTGACAGCATTCCCCCCCCCAAAAAAAAATTATGAAATGCCCTCTGGAATAGAAAGATTTCTTAAATACAAAGTAAACATATATTAAACCAAAATGAACATTTTAATTCTAAAATTTTGTAAATGATTTTTAACTAGGAAACTTTTAACTAGGGATTCTATTTTAGAATAAACTGCAAAAATTCAATAGATTCGCCTTTCCACGTCCCTATTCCGTCTACCCTAGAAATAACAGAAATAAAACTCTTAAGATATTTCTTTCTTACCAAGGAACTCCTCAATACAGTGAACATAATTTAGTTAATATTTGTCGTTTGAATTCAAAAGTATCGATGGAATAAAAAAATACAAAACGGATACATAGCTGTTGAAATATTATGGTGATTTCTTAGAATACTTTACCTCGAGTAAAAACTACTTTTTTCCCTCAATTTAATTCGGTATGGAATTCAGAATCTCATTCTTCTTTATGTGCCTAGATGATCCCGCATGACTAATCCTCATAAAACAATGTTTCACAAGAAAAATGCCTCTCCACCCTAAATGCATCTCTCCCTCTATTTACGGCATTGATACAGTAACATTATAAAAATTTTTTATCTTTCGTATAGAAAACATGCATCAAAGGCAATTAAAATAAGTAGCAAATATTTCTGAAAGAAATTTCAAATTGAAAAAAAAAAAAAACTATTCATTCTGAAAAAGAAACTTATTATAAACCATCATTCCTTAAAAATACTACTCTTTTGTACTTTGAAAATAAAATTCTGGAGCTTAGAATTAAATTAGATTGGAAAAGTATTTAATGGGTACAGTTATTTACTATCAAGTCACCATATAAATAATATTTTCCAGACAGGACTTGCTAAAACATATTTTAATGTATTCAAACACATGATTTTTATGAATGTATGAATACCACTGAGTAAAGATTCACTTGAATAAATTCTGGCTTGTAAGCACATAAGTTTTGATTTGTTGCTTTAATAGCCTCGAATGAATATAGCAGTCACAGAACAGTATACCAGACACATACTATATAAGAAAGGCAAAAGTGAATATTTCTGGAAAAAATGTGGAAGAAGTATGCAGTAAAGATGCTTTGAATATTTACAAGTACCAACTGTAGTCTGTAAATTCTGACAAGGTGATCTTAGCTTGAAAGATGCTAGCCTCTGTGGGAGCCCGTCTTCTTTTATAACGATGTATTAAGAGCTGTACTATTACTCACGAGTCCTCTTTTTGGGCTTCCAAATTCAAATTATCATTACACATTTCTTTATTACACAGAAATCTTACATTTATTTGCTTTTATTTTTAGGCAAAAATATGCCTATTTATTTCTGCAAATTTAAACAATATTAATCCATTGCAGCTTACCTTTATTTATTTTTAAAAATTTTTCCTCTATCAGTTATCCCTGAATATGACTGTAGTTTTTTACACAACTAAGACATAATTTGTTACTTAAGATTTAATTATTTTGTTTCATTTTATAGTTTATAATAATATATTTATAGTAATTTCATTTATAGTAATATTACTATAAAAATTATGAATTTATGGCAAAGCTAAACAGTAAATAACTAATGGGTAAAAAATAAAGAGATATAACTCAGTTTTCTGAAATATTTTAAAATACAGAAGCAGATTTAATGCATGCATGGGGAAGAATCCATCAGAAGACTTACATTTACATAATGTATTTTGTTAAACAATTTAAAAAACACTCACTACTTATTAAAAAAAATTTTGTTAAATGTTTTGTGTGTTACATTTATTAGTTAAACATCATGTTCTTCTCAATTAAACCATAAAATTCAATTCAACAGCAATACCACAAAATTATTTTAAAAGAACACATCTTTAGAATTTCCGATACACAGTCTCGCATGCTGGTGATAAAAAATTTTTTTTACAGTACAGTGTTGGCATTGCTCATTTTGAAATCGATGAGTTTGTTAATCAAAGATTCGTTCAAATTTTAGAAAATATGAAATAGATAATAAAAAAATCCAAATTAGGCTTTCCAAATGCCCATATTCAGGTGGAGGATTACATTATTCAAAATTTGTTGGCTCTAGGTACCACTGTTTTATCACAACGCGAGAAACATACATACATTTATGGAGATTCTTCCTTATTTAATTTCTTTAAATATAACACAGAGCAATATTTGATGGCAACAATTTGAAAAGTAATACAGCCTTTTAAAGTTTCCAATGCAGAATGCCAAAATGAAATTAATAGCCCTTCTGGGCTGACGCCCTTTGAGCTAATAACATCTACTTTATATTTTATTGACAGTCATTTTATATGATCTCCATGTAAATCAGTTATGATATTAATACCAAATAGCTATTGTATTTTTCTGCCAAACATCCCTGTAACACACAGTTAGCAGTATCTTCAATAAATTTTTAATCTTACTTAAATTAAAATTTTTACTCTCAGATTTGCAGATACTGTAATAAAAATTATACCACTTAAAAATTTTTAAATGCCACAAATTACATATTTGAGTCCGCCACTTTAAAATTTGGAAATCTAATGGATTATTCAAAAGGTATATTTGTTACAAATCAGGCTATGAGATAAATTACACTACACTGAGATAAGGCTAAAATTTATGTTTCAGAAATTCATTAAAAAATGTTGTTCTATTGGAAATACATCTTTTAATTTGTAAAGTGCTCAAAATATTTCAGTTTGACTGTGAAATTAAGAAATTTATGTGGTTGCAAATAAAGGCATTTAATGGTCTCAATAGGCTTAGAAAGTCTACCTTAACTCAAAATGTTTTTAGAAATACTGGCTTGGAAATACCTGTAAAATCATTTTTAAAGGTAGTCTATATTCATTAGATACAAAGTAATATTGAGATCTGCTTAACTGTGGTATTTGTTTTATAAGAAAAACTATATTGCTCAATACTTGGTTAAATAAAAATGCAGTTATTGAAAATATATTCCTATTAACAAATACAATTATTAATATGAATAGTATATATTATTAAATATAATGTTTGAATTGCCATCACTGGAAGTTTCATTTCCAAATCAACTTTCATATTCAACTATTTTTTTAATGTAATTTTGTAACTGAATCACTTCCAACTTCACTAAGAATTTTTTGATGTTCTTTGTGTCTTCTGAGCATTATGGTTGTAACTGGCATGTTAATATTTAAGGCATGATTAAATTCCCATCCAATACATATACAATCAATGTACTTTAGACTATGTTGATCGTGATGAGATGGCGACATGATCGATAGGTTTGCTCACTTCTTGGTAAATGCAAGATTAGCAACTGCTCAATGATTGACAGAATAGGTGTTCCTCTAGACAAGTTTTATCCTATGCATAAATAATTCAAATCTTAACTTTAAAGTCCTAATTGCATACAAATGGAATACTTGAAAGAATGGCAGTCTTTGCTCAGTTTGTCACATCCACAGTAAGGTGTGGTCTGTCACATATTTATGATTCTTATAGTTGCTAGAATTAGTAAGTGATTTGCTCTAACAAAATATGTGTTCAGACTAAGACATGATTAAGCTTCTGAGAATTAAGGTGGGATACAAGCCACATTATACTGAAAAAGATGACATAAACTATACCTACTACAACAATCTCCGACACTATATTCTTAACCATTTATGGTTTAAAAGTATTTTGCATTTAAAAAAAAATAAATAAGTAAAAAATATTTCCTCCCCCTTTGAAGAAGAAGAGGGATCAATATTTTATTCAAAATCTGCACCAAAATAAGACTGTTTATTCTTGCCCAATTTCAAATTGTACAATGGCATGTTTTTCTTCTTTCTGAATATTCATATTTATTGGTTGTGGCTAGATCTATTCTAAATATTATATTTTTGCTTTACGTGTTCCTAAACAAGCTTAGAACTTACAATGTGACCAATTTTTGATTCTAATCTTGAACATTTTATCTATACTATGAAAATGTATCTTCAGGAATTTCTGTTAGCCATTACTATAGTAGTCTCAAAAATGATAAATAGTTAAAGTTTCACTGTATTTCAAAATTTTTAGTTTAAATCAATATCTTTATACTACTTTAAAAATTTTATGTTAAGATATATTAAGCCTGCTTCTTTACTGAAATTTCTATTTTTAACCAAGATTTCCATTTATTAATTTCTTTAAAAATTATGTATGCAGCCTACATTTCCTTCTTAACTTCTAGGAGGTACAATAATATATATAATAAATTAATTATTGTAATTAATGTATATACATATATCACACCTATTGTTCAGTGCTGCACGCAACCCAACAGATGATCTTTCTTCATTAGCAGGAGAGGGTGTTTCTCAAAGTCAACCTACAGGCATGCAGTATTAAACCATAGCAGAACTTTCAACTTCAGGGAAACTCTTGAAGTTACTGACAGTAAATGTTACTCACTTTTAAACTTGATATTAATTACTGAATCTGGTCATTTTTTTAAACCTGTATATATCCATCAAAATGTGTTTTACTAAACAAGAAAGTGTTAACTTATAACATCAGTGAATTAGATAAATTTCAGACTCACAAAAATACTGATGTCAGATGGAACTATTTTTATGCAAGGACTGTCATGGACAAATTCTGAACTTTTGACCTTTCAACATCATACTTGTGAGTATGAAACATATTTTTGGTTTTAATATGAAATTATAACATATATATATGGTGCATATATGAGATATCATATATATGAGATACCATACATATGAGATACCATATATATATGGTATATATGAGATACCATATACCATATATATATATATACATATGGTATATAGAACTTATATAAAAACATTGCCAGAAACCTAATTTAGTAATAAATCTGAAAGCTTGAAAAAAACATGGTTAGACATGAGTTTAAATGAATGAGTCAAAATACAGTATGCCACAAAATAAATTTTAATCCATATACTATAAAAACTTGAATTTTACAATATTTCATTTCATGCAAGTTACAATTATATCACATGGCAAATATGCAAATGATAAAGAAACGATTTATGGACAACTTAATTTTATCAACATGCAAACAATGATCCAGATACCATTAAAAAGACGAAACCTTACATATTCTATGGCCAAATCTCTTTGTGTATACTTACATATGTATAAATGAAACATTTCCTCATATATATATATATATGAAATTCAGTCTCATAATTAAAAAAGTGAAGACAAATATCTGTGAGACTACCATAAAATGAACTTATATATACAAAAATAGCTCTTAACTTTCTGTAAATATAATATATAAAAAGTGTTTAAAAATTTTAAATACAAAATTCAGCATGACGAATCTAAAATACGAAAGCCCACACAGTGGGGAATATCTTTTATATCAACAATAAACATATTTTATGAAATTCAAAATAAAACTGAAAATATAAAGGAATGCTATTTTCAATAAGATGATCTTTTTAAGTGACAGCTAAAGCAGTCTTATCAAATTAGAGAGCTACTTGCAAGAATTAGATCAAGAGGCACACACCACTTCACGTTTTGTAGCAATACTCTTCCTTATTTCCATGGCGATAGCTTTAGCCAAGGGAGGAGGCACAGCATTTCCTACCTAATGTAATTTTGAAGTCATGAAAATTTTGTGACATACAAACACATAAGAAATATTATAGTATGAAACACACATATAGATTAAAACAAAAAAAGAGAATCAAATATAGGCAATCTTTTTACATCATGATTCTTCTAGAAATAGATAATTATTACAGTCATCATATAATCACATTATTAATATAATAGTAAGAGAACAGCAGCAAATTTTATTAACAGACAGAAAGAGATTTTAATGATATAATAAACAAAATGTTCAAGAATTATATATAGAAAAATTGGCAAAACTTTTGACAATGAAAAGTATTTCAGTAAATTCTATGAAAAACAAATTCCTGATTTATCTACCCTCTAACAGGTAATACTCACACAAAACAAATATAATTATTTGGTTATTTATATAGCTCATTCTCTGCTAACAGTCAATGCTGCCCAATTAAAATATATATATGTAATGATTTCAAATGCGTAGATGAAAGCAGTGGACCTCCCAACAGCTTACGATACTGCGTAGATGACCGAGAAAGACCGTAGTGGCTTGAGGGAAGTCAGATGAATAGTTACCTTTTTTATTTTATCCATTCGTTAAACGATGTGAGAGTAGTTGAAGTAAACTGCACTGAATTTCCACGCCTGTAGGGTCGAAAATCGGCTGCGCCATATTATTGTAATGAAACTGTGGTTTGAAGGTGGCAGAGTGGAAAGCATGATGACGCAATTTAGCACAACATATCTTGAAAAATCACAATCTTTATTTTTTCCATGCATATCAAATCATCCTTTTTCAGATAAGATACTTCCTAATTATATTTGAATACATAAATTGCATTTTTAATTAGAACGTCATCTTAAATAAGCAGCAGCATGGTGTAAAAGCGTCTTGTCGGCAGGAAAGCTATGCGGGGAAAAAGGGAAAGGTTATAGTACTTTCATAGCAAGAAAGCTGAAGTTTCAGTTCACAGTTTTGGTTTAGAATTAATTTGATTGGACGAGAGGCATCTGCATTAAAACGTTACATAAGATAGAAAAGTCTGGAACCTGTGAGAAGAGATGAATTTAGGGGGCAGATCATCAAATTTAGAATGTTAATTTTGAGGTCGTCAATTATTTTTTTGAAACAGCTATCATATTTTGTTATATCTTACATATCCCCCCTTCAAAAGAAAAGTTGTGTGAGCAAAGTGGAAGAAAAAGCATTAGAGCACAAAATGTTAAAGATATAATTTTGAAAATATACACACATTAACTTAGTGAAAAGGAAATCATCAGTGAATTACCATTTTCAACTTTGGTTAAAATTTCTGCAATTTGTTTTGAGAAAATCTGAAATTCTTGTTCATTAATTTTTCTAATTTTTCATAATTATGTGTGAGCAAATCAAGTAACGAATTTTAAACTATTTAAATTATTCATAGGGAAGGATATTTAGATAAGTTTTTATGTTTTTGAAATTTTGTTGAGAATTTTGAATACGAATTTTATGATTATTCTAAAAATGAAGTAGGTGTAAAAAATAAGTGAAATTATTGTAGATACGTAATATGAAATTATGGTAAATGCATGTTAAATTTATGGGTGATTGTATGTTAAGTATAGTGTATGTCGAGGGTGTACTGGTTCCTTCAACAGAGGCCTGTAATTACCTCTGTACAGTTGTTCCTTTTACGCTCTTCATGCAAGATAATGTTGGAGGCTCTCATTTTATGAGTGTGTGTAATTTTTTTCTATTATTATTATTATTATTATATTTTTTTATTATGGAATGTATTAGTGCAGTTCGCAAAGGCCAGTTACCTTATGCAAGGAACGGAGGCCTTTTCAAGTAACTGCCTAGGCACCCTGGGCCACCAGTGCAGAGAACACACTGGTTAGCTCAAGAGGACAGCCCTATTGATGGATATGTTTGTTTAAAAGTATTGCGAGGCTTCCAGTTTGGTAAAATCAGGAATTGTAAATGAAAGATGATAACGGTGAAACCATAAATTCTGAAAATCGTAATCCTGTTATTTATGATGTTAAATTATAATTTATCAGTATAGAAATAAGTATCATAAATATTTATGTGCATTACATTTAATTATAAGTAATGATTATGTAAAAGTTTATTTTGTGATATTCTGTAATAACAAGAACCTTCCCTGAAGAATTATGATTATTTGAACTCTCAAACAAAAAGACTTTTGGACTGAAATGCTGAAAAATTCAATAGGACTCTAAAAATTAAAAAATTTTTAAAAAATTTATATTTATAAATTATACTTTACAGAATTTTAAAAATTTATATTTATAAATTATAATCATAAAATTTTTATGATTTATGTTTCCCCCCCCCCATTTGCTAGAGTTTTTACTCTTTCTATTTAAAAAGGCTTCTCTGTCGCTACACCTTTTTCTTTGTGAAGGGGGGAATATGTAAGATAAAAATATATGAATCAAAATTATAGTTTAAAGTATAAACATTAATTCTTCCTCTCTATTCTAAAATCGTAATAACTTATCTGCATTGCGTCATTCAAATTAATCACGCGATCTTACGTAACCGTTAATACCAGATGCCTCTTAACGACCAATCACCGAATTGTAAACCAAAACTTTTCTCTCCGCGTGCTTCCATCTTTCATAACTACGCACTTCAGCTTTTGCTCTCTACTGTGCTAATATGTAATTTCGCTGGCTTGCTTTCCTCAACAATATCAAAAATGTAAATCTTCTGTGGAAAGGCACGACTAGAGTGCCAAGTGATTGTGGCCACAAATATGAGTTGAATATAAAAATGGAATTAAAACTGCCTCAACTGCCAAGTTCTTTAGATCACCGCATCTACAGTGTTCCATCTTTTCCTTGTGCTTTTAATATGACACATATATATATATATATTTCATTCAGTCGAATGAAACAAGTGACACTAATGGATTGATATAAGGGTGTTTATATCTTAAATTTTTGCCATGAAGTGAATGGAAGACAATTCATTTCAAATAAAATTTTGAATTTGCATGATTAATTGTCATCTCAACTCTTGCATAATAGGTAATTCATACAAAAACTTATTATGAAGGTTCAAACAAGTGAAGGAGCATTAAAAGAAAAGAACATTATTGTTCATCTTGTTTCTGTTTGCTGCTAGATACACAATTCTAGAAATGAACATGCAGATGCCACAGCCAAATTGGAACCTAAGCCGTAAACTGGATCTAATTTGAACATCTCATCATCACACTGGGAACATCTCATCACACACTTAAATAGTTCTCATCAAACATCAGTGTTGTGTCACACAAAAATGGAACATTTTAGAATGAAAATGTCAAGAGTTACTTTTTCAGATGTGGATTGTTTCCCACTGAGATGTGCAATTGTATGACAGAGATGTCTAAAACAATAGTATTGAACTATAGTGCATTTGAATTGCAAAGAAACATCTTTTAGTCTCCTAGGTCTCAAACTAAACACCCAAATTTTATTATCTTATTGATAACAGAGAGATGCATTCTTCTTATTTGGTAAATTTGTCAATAGTATTCAGAATTTTTAATCTTTATATATATATATGAAATGTAATTTCTATACATTATTTGTTTTGTGCAGCCAGGGCAACAGGAATGAGACAAATTTTGGAATATCAAGTGGTAAGTTTATTTTAGCATCCATCTCGTAAGCGTTCTCCTCGTACCTTGAGCAGAAGCCCAATTTATACATATGTGTACGTCACGAGACTCCTCCAATCAGCGATATTAATTGAAATCACGAGGTGACTCTATCTACTCATCAGGAGTGTTCTTAAGTACTTTATGTAATATGACAGATTTATGAGTTTGGCGATTTGGCGGGCGCCAACAGGTTAATATATTTTATACTAAAAGAAAGGATTTCGCCAAAATTTAGGAACAGGGGTGCAATTTAGGTAGAGAATCGCCAACACATTATTAAGCAATATTAATAGAATTTAATTTAATCAATTGCTTTAAAAATATCATTACATATATATATATACATTTAGTGATACGTAATATCACTAAGTGTGCAGTCATGAATGAGGAACGATTAACTTCTGGCTGTAGGCATGGATAAGACATTGACAAAACTAATTTTGACCAATCACCATCTTAAATGCTAGGCACATCAAAAATTATTTCTTTGGTAGACAAATTACTTTCCGATCATATTTGAATACAAATAATTTTTATATACACAGATAAAAAGTTATGACATCATTTTAAGCAGGGAAGCATAAGCGACACAGAGCTGCTTGCATGGCAGAAGTCAGGAAAAAAGGGAAACGTAGTTCTCGTGACTCAGCATTTATACCCCCATAAGTGCAGAGAGTATTCTAAGCTATGATTGGACAGTATTAGTTTCAGTTACCTTTTTCAAGCAGCGTTATATAATTTGGAATGATCTCGAATTTGGGAGAACTGATGAATTTAGGAGAGCGAGCATCAAATCTAGAATGTTAATTTTGAGGTCGCCAATTATTTTTTAAAGCAGCCATCGTACTTTGTTATATCTTACACACATATATATATCCTCCTCATAAGGACAGCATAGAAGTAAAACCTTGCTTAACAAATCAGCATTTGGATTTTCTTTTAAATTTCAGCAGAAATATTTCAATATGTACTTTATTGTGGATATTCAGTCACAAGTGCATTTAATGGACCAAAAATAAAACCATTAAGGGAAATTTTGTGATCACTCTGTATAACAAAATTTAGAAAATGATCTGTAACTTTCATAAAATAACTTATATGGCACGTATAATGTTCAAATGCATTTTCATAAAAATAAGACATCTATTAACTAGGATAATAAAAGGGTTTTTTTAAATTCCTTTTTGGCGTGCAATATGCAATTCATGATTAATTAAGGTTAAAATTCATACAGAAAATGTATATTCTGAAAGAGATTTTATTGGTCCAAAAAGAAAGGTACTATCAGAAGAAAATTTGCATATTCAATTTTGATCTACCTAAAATCAAAATAAATAGTACAAATAAGCAGTATGTCTGCTGAAATGTTAAACTGAGAACTATTTGCCTTAATGTGATGCAAAACTGTATCTTAAAGATGTGTGCTTCATGTCACAGAATCTGCAGACAACCAAGCAAGGTTCGAACACAAGTTTTTATGCATAGTAAGAAGTCTTAGACAATGTGATCATTGTGAAATGTAAAATATAATCAAGATTTAAGAATTATTAAAATTCTATGTTACATACTTGTCTGTGCCTGTCTAAAATATTGCCATAAAATCGGTAACTATCTGGAAAACCCTGTGAACGAGCACATTCACGCACACTTACAAGTCTATGTTGTTCTGGATGAAGGACCCGGCCCTAAAAGGAGGAATAAAATTGTTAATTTCACAAATAAAAATTTCTATAAGCAATACCTATTAATATCCCATGGAACATACACATAATAATAACAAAAAATTTATTGTTTTGAAAATTTATTCACATTTCAAAAATACATTAAATTAACTAATGATTCCAATTCAAAGAAATATATTTATAAATGAGAAGTATGCATACCTGTTTTCCCATAGGCTCAGGATTTGTGATTGTTGTACTGAAAAAGCCATCCCACTCAAGCCTGCCATAAAGACCAGCCCAATTATTGTGTCTGTTTCCAGTATGAGGTAAACACCAAGGAATTAATGTATTCCATTGACGATCCATCGGATCACATGCCTTTCCTGATGCACAAGCACATACTCCCCGTAAGGCTCCATTAGGACCTCTTCCATTTTTAATATCTTCATGAGCATACACTCTAAAATATTAAAGTGATATCATACATTAATAAAAAAAATCATACAGTTGTAAGAAATGTTTTGGTCTTTTTATTTATTTGGAGTAAGAAGTTCAAAAAGCTGTTAACAACTTGGAGAAGCATATTACATGTACCTAAAGCAGTGATTCCTGGTCTTTCTCCATTGATTATCATAACTCACATATCACTGATATCATGATGCAATAATTTAGATGTTTAACAATTTGTTTTTGATATTATCATTATTAATGCAATTATGACTATTATACTGACATTCATTTATTACTTTGCTTGCTTATTGTGTTTCAAAGGAATTATAAAGAATATTCTTTTGATTAACCAATCATCAAATTAACAGCTAATTATTTTTAAAATGTACCACTAGCTTTCAATTTTTTGCTTTCATTCACATAAGTGTAACTTAACAAATTTTAAAACTTTCTTCCATTTTCAATCTAGATTCGCACATTTTACAAAAAGCTTTTAGGAATTTCATAATATATCAAATTGCTGTGATGCAATAGTTGGGAAATACAGTAATCAGCCACAAATGTTGATTAACTGTTTTCCAAAAGAGCTAGAAAATGATGCTATATTTGCTCAGAGAAAATGTTTCACTAATATTTCTTAAATGTATGGTTTGCAATTGCAAACAACAAAAGGCATTTTAAATTTTAATAAAAAGCATTTACTAAGATCTGATTATCAGATTTGCAGCCATAGTAACATACAACCAATAAAGGTCACTGATACTACAAACATGAACCTGACTTTTTGCAAAATCCTGTTTTGAACTGCTTGTGTTTGATATTGAAATATTTGAAATTATTTTGCTTTACAGAGGAAGAAGACATTTAACATTTACAATAGCTTATGGAGAACTAATTGTTAGGTGGCATACAGACAGATACTGAGCACTACTCTATGTAATATATACTATTATAAGCATCTTAATAAATACAATTAATTAAATTATTAATTACAATACATTATGAATTATAAATATATGAATTAAATATTTTAATTACATAATGTAAGAATTTAATCACAGAATGTAAGAATCACTTCAGTTAGTGATATTAAAAATATGAAATACAGATATAATAAAAAATACATTTTTAATTCCCTCTGTTTGTTCAGCGATATTTGATTTTTAACTTGAAAGATAAATTCAGAATCTAAGGTTAAACAGACCACTGAGGATTAGCAACCTGCCAGACTGTGCAGATGATATTGCTGTTAAGAATCCAGGTTAAGTATTTCTTTTCCTCGCTAGAAAGGGCTAGGGGCTCCATGAGTGAATGAAAATTTAAACTTTTTGTTGTTGGCATGTTTGCCTAAAGTTTAGTTAATTAAGTTTCTTCTTCGTTCTCATACAAGTATGTCAGAAATGTACCTGGCGTTAGGCATCTGGCTCATTTTTTTTCATTTTGCAGCTACATAAGATAATATGAAATAGACAGTGTACTGTAATTTCAGAGTAACTGCTAAATATATGTTTCCATTCAACGTTTTTATGCGATGTGTATGTCAAGATGTAAAAGTGCCGGCAAAATAAAAGTGTGTGTCATCTAACCCAAGAAGACCTTATTTACAGCTCAGACACCACAATTATGAGATATTTATCATGCCCTGTCAACAAGACAGAGGTAATTATGTTTTCTTACTATTAATATAAATTATAATTATAATAGAACCTGCTATTGTCAGTGGATTCTGACACCATTTATCAACAGTAGCTGATGTTTGATTACATGTATTTCTTAAACTATAATGTATGATAACTATAATGTACTGTATCTCTTAAACTATAATGTAATGGACCATTCGACTTACCTTGACACTTCTATAACAACTTAGCTTAGGCTATAGAAGTGTAAGGTGAGTTTTCAAGACTAAAAAACTTACAACAAAAAGTAAAGCTTCTTTGAAACAGAGAAATAAAATAACATGATTAAAACAAAACTCACAGAGTTACTAGCTAATAAACTAAATACAATCGCTAATTCAGAAGTCAAACAACAAAAATCAGCGTTATATTTTCAAATTTTTATTTGAAAATATAACGTTGATTTTTGTTGTTTGACTTCTGAATTAGTATTTGTTCGGCGTGTTATTGTGTCTTAAATACAATCAATTGAAACCTGCCTACAATTTACAGAGGTAGATCCAAAATTTTCCAGCCTCGCATATAAAATTTATTCAGCAATAACTTTTTCTTGCAGGCATTACTGGCAATATTAAATGAATAAATTGAAAGTTTCATTCGATAAATCCTATGCATTCTTTTTGACGTTTGCTGAATTAAATAATTTGCTAGTTTGTTTTGGAATGCTAAAATCAAGTATCATTCTGTGACTAAATTTTTTTAGTTAATTTTTGTTTAATTTAAACTTTAAAGTCAAATCCAAAAGAAATAAAACATCGATTGAATCATAGGTATGCTGATTTGTCTCTTCCTTACTTTACAGTGAAAGAATAGCTGCAAATGTATTCTATTCAAATATCTCATTGTATAAATAGGTAATGCAACTTGCAGAACTGTGTTAACTATTCATACAGTGAAAACAAGGGCCAAAAAAAATGTAAAATTTATTCTCATGGAAGTCATAAACATCAGAAATTATTGCTCACGTCCAAGAGGATATACTCAGAAATTGAGATTAAAAATCCAGGATATACCAGAAAACCTGAATCTATCTACCTTTATAACCCAAATTTAGCTTCCAATTATTATTGTCTGTTCTCTACACAGAAATATGACCTTCATGGAAAGAAATTTAATGATGTGGATGGCATGAAAAAAAAATTTTTTTAGAACATTTTGTGTGTTAACCTTAAGATTTACTTTTTAAGGAGCATACGGTCGTTCATTAATTCAGCAATGTGAAAAATGTATTAAAACATAAGATCATACTAAAAAATAAATAATTAAAATTATTTCTGCTTCTTTCAGAATTGTGTGAGTTTAAAATCTTTTGAATCTATCTATATACATTTCCAAATGCCGAACCAGTAAGATGTAGACAAGTAATCTGATTGTCAAATTTCAACTTGAACTTCCCCCTCCCTCCAAAAAAAGGTTTTTAAAATCATAGCAAGCCCATGCAGAAATAGCCTCAAACACAAGTTTTTCAAGCAGAAACTAGTATCACTAGGCATTCATACAATTAAAAACCACAGTATTTAAAGTGACTCTCATATTAGCATTTGCCTGAAACTTCTGAACTGCATAACGGACACTAACCTGGCATATCATTATTTATTATATTTTATTTTCATAAATGCATGTTTATCAACACATGACAACTTGAGTAAGATGACTCATGCACTGATGCCTAAACAATTTTTTTAATGTTAGTAATTCAGTAACAAAGCGTATGGTAACCTCTTATGTTGACATTACGGTTGGTGATGATTACAGATTTATGTTAAATGCGCTAATGTTGAGGAGGAAAATTTACCAAAAATTTCTTTCCATATGCTAAAAATAGATTTTGTTAATGACACTCATAGGCCAAAAGATTACATTTAGTGCTATTTGAATTAAGAATAAATGATTTGTTATTCACATAAACTCAGAACTGCGCCAAAGCTCATATGGCCACATTGGGTGGGAGAATTTAGAGAAGACAAAATTTTTGGAATTTAGAGAAGTATCGAGCAACCAAATTAAGGCATGCCAAAATTTTTACAATTTAGGAAAAGTACTGGGACCCCAAAATTTAGGGTCAGCAAAAATTTAGAACTTAGGCATTTGGTAGCAGAACTTAAGACCCACAGAGACTGCATCAGGCAGTAAGATATCTAGCACCGGCCCTCGATAAGCCTTAAGCACCGTATTTGCCGGTGTATAAGACACACACCCTTTTTTATACACATTTTTGAAGGATAAAACCTTATTACTGATCATTATAATGAATTTACAGTACTTTAAATATAAAGTAATACAAATATGAAGTAATACTTTATGCAAATACCCAATCTATCTCGGAAGGAAAACCTTTTAATCTTCGTCAAAACCCACACTCAATCTCCAGAGCTAAGTGAAAAGTCATTCGAAACCTCTTCTAAATCAGCATCTGAGTCATCATACAACAAACTAGCCAATGTAACATTCAGTGCGTTACTAATGCTACACTTCTTAAATGATTTTACCTCTGTCTCTGTTTTTGCTGCATCCCATGAAGCTTTGACCCATTCACAAATTTGCGAAATGCTAACTCCAAGTTTACCGAGTATCGACGTATAAGACGCACCCTGTTTTTCAGACCTACTTCCCCACCCCCAAAAAAATGGTCTTATACACCGGCAAATACGGTATATGTGGTAATTTATTCAAGACTCAGCCTTAAGCACATGCAAGAAATAGACATAAGTATAATAAATAACTTAACTAATATAATTCAGGCTTAATTGTCTCAGTATGCAACAGAAGCAAGATAAACAACTTGTCCTACATCGCCAATCTTGTGATACATAGCCAATAATGTATAGTGCACACTTTTAAGCTAGGCTAAAATTATACTTTACTGATTCTAAGGAATTTCAGTTAATATAGCAGATTACACTGTTCCTCAACTTTTTGATGATTTGCCATTAAACAAAATGTGGAATTGCTGCAAAAAATTGATAAAGGTGTATCTGTCTCAAAATTACGCGAGGAGTATGCATTGGGAAGTCAACTGTATATGATATAAGAAAACAGGAAAAGGAACTTCTTGAATTTTTTCTGAATTCCGAAACTCCACTCGCAATGAATAACAGAAGATGTTTTCGTTATGTTAAAAGTGATGATCATGACAAAGTGATGACTGAATGGGTCTGACAGCATCGCAGCATCATCCAAAACCCCCCTCGCAATGAATAACAGAAAAATTATTCGTTATGCTAAAAGTGATGATGTCAGGCAATGTTGCAGTGCCATTGATGCTGCGAAATTGGCAGGTGCAAAGCTAATGGATCAAGCCGAAATATTTCATGAAGAAATGAACTTAAAAACTGAGTGCACATATTTGCCAGGTTGTTTGACCAAATTTAAAAATCGCCATACTTTAAGGCAATTAAAAATTTCATATGAAAAAGCAGCTTCAGCTGCTACTAAAGCTGCTGAAATATTTGAAGATGAATTCATTGAACTCATTAATAGCGAAAAGTTTCTCTAGAGAACAAATTTACAATTCTGATGAAACTAGTCTTTTCTGGCAATATATACTGTGAAACACCTTGGCACAACCTCTTCAGAAAAGGCTAATAATAGTATCAAAGATTCCAAAACAAGACTAACAATTAAGACACAATAACACGCCGAATAAATACTAATTCAGAAGTCTAAACAACAAAAATCAGCGTTATACCTACAAAATTTTCACAGGACTAGTTTCGATGGTTTTACCGAACCATCATCTTCAGCTGCAAAACCATCGAACCATCGAAACTAGTCCTGTGAAAATTTTGTAGGTATAACGCTGATTTTTGTTGTTTAGACTTCTGAATTAGTAAGACTAACAATCTTAGCACGTGCAAATATAATGCAGGAATGCACAAGTGTAAACTTTCCGTAACTGGAAAAAATACATGGCTGCGAGCATTTAAAGAAGTAAAGATTTTCCCCATTATATATCATGCAAATAAAAGAGTATGGATGACACAAGCATTACTGAACAATAAGTTTGAAAATCATTTCATACCCAAGACTCAGCAATATTTGAATTTGGTTGGTTTACCTAATGATGAAAAAATTGCCCTGATTGTAGACAAGTGTTCGGCTCATACTTCACTTAAAGTTTTAATGAAAGATAATGTATATCAGTATTATTCTTTCCTCCAAATTGTATATCCATTATTTAGCCTATAGATATCAGAATAGTGTACCTGCTGAAATGCAAATATAAAGTACCATTTTTAAAATCCATGTTAAATTTCTTAAATAATGGCAAGATTATTTTAGAATTTTTGAAATATTTTAGCATAAAATCTGCTGTGTGGAGCATCAGAAGACTGTGGGAGGATGTGTCTCCAGATACTTTTTAAAATGCTTGGCATAATCTATGGCCAGCTACCATATTTCATATTTCATGGTGATGATGAAGATGATAGCTGCGAATCTGAAGGTTTTCAGTTATCACAAACCAAAGGTGGAATTTTCTAGTTAATGGATTTTGTAAAGAAATGAGGTGAAGCGGTAATAAATAAAGATGATATTACAGAAGTTTTTCATTGCAATGACAATGCCCCAATCATCAATCAATTAATGGATGGCGAAATCTGTAATGTGGTTCTACATCCAGAAAATACCCATAGTGAAGAAACCCACTCATAGTGAAGTCACCCATAGTGAAGAAAGTAGTATAGTAGTCACCCACAGTGAAGAATGTGACAGAGAGGTTACTGGTGTATTGGTGGTGGTGTATTTAATTATAACAAAGCACACTAGAAGAGAGGTTACTGAAAATGAAAACATTTCAATTGAGAAGTTAGTCAGAATTCTCAATACAGCAATTTCAGGACTTGAACAACGGAACTTTGTAACTGAACAAGAAATGATGTCTTTGTAACTGAACAAAAAATTATGTCTATCTATAGAATTAAAGAGAAAGTATTAGCACAAAAAATGAAGCAATTTAAACAACTTACACTGAAAGAAATGTTTAATAAAGTAAATAAATGAATATGAAGCTTTCCCCCACCCCAACTTTTTTTTTTTTTTTTTTTTTTTTTTTTTTTTTTTTTTTTTTGTAAATTTTGATACTCTTTAGATCATAAATGCTTCATTATTTCATATTTTTGATTTTATAATTTCTATATGCCATCTTACTAGATTCAAACTGATGATCTGATATGCGGAAAAATCCCACATCCTGGATCGCCGAAGTTCTGACGAGTTCAAATCTCGGACTTTGTACTGTATTTGTCATGCAAAAATTATGAAATAATTTTAAATAGTACATAAAGTTTAATTTGATTAAAGATATTTTAGTGAAAAATGTAAAAATTAGGTACTTTCATAACAAACTGCAATGCAAAAATGAACTTGCGACACATGAATAACAATTAAAACATTAGTAAAAAATGCAAATCTTACTATACAAGTCACATGTTAAGGAAAATTATTTAAGAATTCATGAGAACTTACAGCTTTTTAGTGTAGTTCCCATCTTTTAAACGAACAATAATATTCGGAAGATCTCTCCAGTCACTTCCTGGTGTCATTGGGATGTATTTCATACGAGCTTCAACCAGAGGGCTCATTTCTTTACAGATGTGGTCTCTCAAAATATGTTCATAGACTGTACCTCTCAACTAGAAAAAAATTATAAGAATTACAAATAAAATACTAGTATAGTGCAGTGGTCAGTGATTATTTATTTAAAATAAATATGCAATTTGTTTACTTCTTGATAAACTGGTAAACAAGGAAAACAGTACTGAAATATTATATACATGAAAATCAAATTCAGTTTTTAAAAGAAAAACTAAAACAAATATAATCATTAACAGTATAAAAATATACTACCTACAGTAAAATTATTTTAATATTTCTAAAGCATAGATATAGAGATGAAATAAGATCCTTCATTATCACATAACCATTAAAATAGATCACAAAAGAGATACCATATACTTCTAAATATAAATCAATCCATGTATAAGCTGAGTGTTTTTTTATTCATTTACTCAAAATTCAAAACTCATACATAAACCAAAAGAGGGGGAATCCTGCAATGTTTAAACATGTAACCATGAGAGTGAAAATGTTGCCAAGTGAGTAAAATGAACGGAATATACTTGAATCAAATCACCATAAAGTAATAGTTTAAATTGTGGTAACCCCTATTTGAAGCCCGCAGATGTTTTCCACTCATTTGTTGTCTTGTATATGATCTGTGGTATCTGTGCTAGCTTTATTTTCTGTGTCATTTTATTTTTTGTCTGAAAGATCAGTGGAAGAGGAATTCTGTTGGTCGAGTGCAAATTTCAGCAGCATTAGATTTTTCATTTTGCTGATGCACCAAACTAACAATACAAATAAATAAATAATAAATAAAAAAAACTCATTTTTATAAAATGAATAACTCATTTCACTTACAATTATTTTTTTATAAACTTCAAGAAATAAAAACTAAAGAGATAAAAAAAGTGCTATATTTAAAAATTTTAGCTAAAGAAAAATTATGTTTTTTGTGAGATAACAGATCTGTATATATAAGCTAATCCCTGTAATTTAGCTTTAGGAAAAGTTCAGAAAATTCTTGGCTTACACACAGAAATATACAATATATAAAATATCTGAAAGTATTACTGCAGAAATTCATAATACAAGAACGAAGCAATGTCATAGCTTCCAACTTTGAAATATAAAAAATTGGGAATTTCTGGGAGGTTTTTATGTTGTGAAGCAACAGCATTTTGAAAGAATTCCACATTGACTTAAATTTATTTCATAATACATATTTTATTATTAATGTTGGTTTTAAATATATTATTTAATTATATATTCTAAATTATATATTCATTATTAATTTCATTTTGTATTTTGTTACACTGAGGAAATCCTGAGTAGGGAAGATTAGTCATTATTTATTAAATTAAAGTAATTTTAAATACAATAAAAATAAAATTAATAATTCATGTATATGCAATCTGAAACTAAGCTATGCACCATATATTGATGTACAGCAAAATTAAATACAAATATTAGTTGAATGAACATTGCTTGAATTTTTTTAAAAGTTCTTCAAACATTTAGGTTAATTAAGAAATTCAAGTCAAATAAAATTTAATTAAAAAAATTATGCTGAAAATCTCTAGATGGGAAAAACATAATTTGTACAATTTAAGTTTCATTAACTCAATAAGTTTCTTTTATTGCTGAGAAACTTTTTCCTTGGTATACATGGTAAAATTAAAAAAATTGGGTAGTTCAATGATCTATTGGGAGATGCAATGATGATAAACTAGAAATCTCTCAGTAAAATCATGAAATTTGGCATTATATACTGAACTGTAATGCAGTTTGTAATAAAAAAAAGAATATACACACACACACACATATATATATATATACACCTATAAGATGATCATAAACTGAAAGTCAATAATTATATATATATATATATATATATATATCACAAGCATACCTCACGTTGAAAGTGTGTCAGGGGTTCTCCAGTATATGAAATTTCTTCCAGTTTAGCACCATTCTTTATTTCAGGCAAGTCTGACATAGAATCTCGAACAGTAATTGTACGATAAGGAGCTGATGAAGTCCACTTTATGTTTGAAACATACTAAAAAATATAGATGCAAATAAGAAAAATTTTTTATAAAAAAGCATTATAAAAGACTAATTTGCCAAATTTTCAAAATTTATTTTTCAAATAAAATTTGCATAGAATGAAGACAACATTCTACAAACTTGCTCACTGTCAATAAAATACAAGAAAATTGCAGCTATAATAACCATACAACCAAACCAAAATGATTACAACAGCTTGATGAAAACTTCATGGTTTTCCTAGGATTAAATTATTTAGGAATTTGGAAGAAAAAAATTCGAAATTGTGTTCTATAAGCGATACAAATCACAAAATTATTTAATAAAAGCATTAAATAAACACAGCATGTGCCAGCAGAATTATGATTAAATATATTTTTGCAGCATGAAACACAATTTATTGCATTAACTATTTTAACTGAATAAACTAGCTGAATAATTCTGAATAAATAATATTTAGAGTAACTAAAGAAACTTACTTTTTTGTCATCCACAACAACTGATAACTGACAACCTCGGGGTGAAAAAACATGACTAGGTTCAGGAAAGAGTGGCAACTGTTCACCAGGAGCTGCAGCTATGATGATAGCTCTAAGAAGAAAATCAATGATGTCTTTAAAAAAATATAAGCAACAGAAAGAGAATGTATGAAAGTTTATTATTAAATAATTTTTACAAAATGCATTTGGGTGACTCAAAAATAACTTTAATCATTAAATCATACAGTTACATAAATATGAAATTCTTTATCTTAAAAACTATGATTTATTGCCCAAACTACGCATTAAGATCAAAAACAATCCAAATGATACACTTAAATTTTATTAATCTTACATAAAAGAAAAGATAATTTATGTCACCAGATTTCTTAAATCAATAGAAATATTTAAAACCCTTTTGTGCAACGAACAGAAAAATAATTTTCTACAAAGAGGTTTTTTAAATTAAAAAATTTATTTAAAACTAATGTACACTAAAACAGCAAAACATTGTTCCTAATAATTTTTCTCTCTTTCTTGCAAATGTATAGTTTCCTTCAATATCGTTAACTATATTTGACAACTTACTGATCCAATAATATACTTGAGCTGTTGCACAAATATACCAAATCTTATATAACTAAGATTTCTAAAAATTCTTTTGCTTATTAAAGAGCTTTCATCTTTTCCCTAGGGCTATAGACATAATTTTCCATTCATTTTCACCATTTAAACAAATATTCAAGATGAAAAGTAAAGAAAAACAACATGAGAGGGTTTTCTACACTCCATTCCACTTTATTCAGCAATTTTTAAGTCTCTAAAGTGGTCTTAAAGTCCTTGAGCCTTATTTAATGTAATCAATGCAAGGGACATACATATCTCAGCCTCCGGGAAAAGGTTAAATAATGTATTATAGATAAAGCTGAGCATAAAGGCATTAGACTAGATTTATATTAGGTGGGAATAAACTAAAAAGACAATAAGATTATCCTTGTAGTAGTATAAAACTGCCAGTCTAACAGAATAAAAATGTTTAGTGGATTACATTAGAACATGCAATAATATTAATAGTGCTTTGACAAATAATATGATTATAATTAAATACAAATCCTTAGAAATTCATTTTAAATATAAAATTAAATACATTTTGATACATATGAGTTACATGAAAAATGAATTTATGCTTTCCATAAAATCTCTGTCAGGAAATCTGTTTATAAGATTTTGCGAATCTGACCAAAAATTTGGCTGTTGGATAATGCTGTTAGTTCTCTCTCTTCTATTTCAGTCCAGCTTCTTAGTTTTCATCATCAGCTCTTTTGTTTTACCACACGTCATAAGTTTGTGCGGAGACATCGTTCATTCGATTAGTAAATAACAAAATTAATAAAAACATTATAATAAAATACACAAAGGAGAATTTTTAAAAAAAGCTAAATTATTATTAGCAGGGAAGAGACAAGATGGTTATTTGCTAGAGGAAAATAAACAATTTTTTAAAAAATCAATGTATATATTACCTTCTTCGTGTCTGTGGAACACCATAATTGCCAGCTTGCAAAACTCCAAAAGTGCATGAGTAACCCATGTGTATCAGACAACGCAATGTCAATTTCAAAATCATGTTCCTCTTAAATGATACAAAATTGCGAACATTTTCCAGAATGAAGAATCTTGGCCGATAGTAATCGCAGTAACTGAGGTATGAAACAATTAGAGAGTTCTTGAAAAGAGAATACTGACGAGAGTTGAACCTGTTCATACCAGAGAAACCTTGACAGGGAGGACCACCACAAAGCATATGCACATCACCTTTCTGAGGCAATCTCTGACCCTTGTAAGTTGCTTCTTTGCCCTGTGTTAAAAATCCAAACATAAAATTATGATGAGCAACTTAATGAATCAAATATTAATATCTTAATAAGTTAAAAATTAAACTATTAATGCACAATAGAAAAGGAAAATAATTATACACCAGAATAATAACAACACAAAAGCAAGCTTACTTCCATAACCGTGCGTAAGAGCAGATTACAATCTTCAGAAAATACTGCACAGTTTGGGAAATTCAGGCGAAAAGCTTGTGCTGCCGTTTCATCTTTTTCGATTGCCCAAAGTGTTTCCGCAATACCTGCTTCATGAAAGCCTTGAGATAAACCTACAACAAGAATGAATTTAAATTAGCTAGCTGATTTAACTGCACCTCAATGACATCAAAACAAAGATTACAATACCTATCATAAATTCACATGTTTATTGTGAAATACGAGATACATTTCTAGAAAACACTTAATAGAAAACATAAATATAACTAACATAAACAGATTGCAGGAAGACATTTTGTAAGTACAGTCAAATACTGAAAATCCGCCAACTCCTGAAATCTGTGTTGCGTCTCAAAATATAAACATTCAGTTTATAGGTTCCGGAAACCGCAACATTGAGTACAAAATATCAAAGAAAAAATACTTACCGAATAATGACGTCATAATTACCGAATAATAATGAGTCATAATGGAAATACCAAATTATTGACATAAAAAAGTTTACAAAAATAAAAGTTCCTTCCCTTTAATCTCTGCATCGAAGTAAAAAAGCAGACGATTCACTCAACTCTTCATTCAAGTTCATGATTCCACCATTGTTGTATTTTCTGAGCTTTGTTATTTCACAAGATTGTTTAGTGCTGCCTTTTTTTTATCCTGATATTTTGTAGATAAATTAAGAATATTTTAAATTTCAGCCCTTTTTAATACAATGACAGATAAGAAACTCACTCATGATTTTAAATTCTGCAAAAGATGGAGGCAGGTGCTACTCCTCGATTTATAGCAGAATGGTATGGAATTGCGACACGATTGTGTATGATATACGGGAAAATAAAGAAAAGCTGTTGAAATTTTACAGCAACAGTGATTCTAACACCGGAAATCTTTGCATGAGGCGAAATCGGCAAACAGATTTCTATGCTCATAACAGATTTCTATCCATAACAAGCTTTTACAAATCACAGAAGATTTCCCGCGTACCTCAGCAGGTTTTGCCATCAAAACATAAAATGCACCTGCGGTGCTTCAGCTTCTTCAGCAGATGTTTCACATTACATCAACTGTCCACTGACTTCTCCCATCAGAGCCTTCCTTCCTTAGCTCCAGGGATCACATAGCCTCAAAGACCTTCTTCAGGATTACTACGGACAGCAGGGTGTCAGAACTATCATAGAGTATGTCTATTCTGATGCTGTGTACATATAATACAATGAATAATATAATCAATTTACATATGTAATAATAACTTAATGCATATAATAAATTATTGCAATAATGTATATAATAATTTTACTTAAATGTATCTAATCCGCCTTAATTATTTTGCACTTTTAGTCCGAATATTATGCTTTATCTTTTCTATCCTGAAATCCGCACAACCTCTGGTCCCAAACTTTGCGGATTTCTGAACTTCTACTGTAGTTGTAACAAAATATCACATACCTCCACATCCAGCAAACACATCCAACACATTCAATTTTTCATGCACTTCAGAATAGGTTTCCTCTTTGCTGATTTTAGGTTCTTCGCTTGATGTTTTCTGTTTTTTCCCTTTACCCTGCAAAAAAATTATTTCACATAAATCTGCATATTTTATGAATTTAGCAAAGACCTTTACTTCAATGAACTTCACAAAAGTAAAGAACTGGAATAATGTAAATGAATTTAAAACAAATTCTAACATTTTAGTAAATGCTAATGATGTATGCTGCATAAAAACTTTCTGAAATTAGCAATATTTTAATTCAATGATCCCTTATTTCATATATAAATTTTAATACCAGAGATTATTTAAGACCTTAAAAAAATCTAGAAATGTATTATGAAAATGTGATAATTATGATATTGGCAAGTAAAATGAAGTGGTGCAATTTTCTTTTAAACATTAACAAAACATTAGATGCTTTCTTTTCAGATTTGATGTTTTTAAAATCAATGAATGCTTATACAGTTACAGCAAAATTTTGAAGCTTGCAAAAGATGCTTTATATACACAGCCGACTCAAAGATACCACTTTCCATAGTTGCTGCCAAACATATCTTCTGCGCCTTCATGTCCCTCTAGCAAGCTCTCTGGGACGACTCAGACATCGGTCGACACACCTACTCCACTCCATCTTTCCCGTGGTTTCCACCAAAAGATGCTCATAACAGATTTCTATCTATAACAAGCTTTTACAAATCACAGAAGATTTCCCGCGTACCTCAGCAGGTTTTGCCATCAAAACATAAAATGCACCTGCGGTGCTTCAGCTTCTTCAGCAGATGTTTCACATTACATCAACTGTCCACTGACTTCTCCCATCAGAGCCTTCCTTCCTTAGCTCCAGGGATCACATAGCCTCAAAGACCTTCTTCAGGATTACTACGGACAGCAGGGCGTCAGAACTATCATAGAGTATGTCTATTCTAAGAGACACATAATCATAGCAGATAATCATGTCTAGACACCTGACGAAATGTAAAGGCAGCAAACCTCAACTCATGTATATATGTAAATATGTCTAAGCTAACTAATCCTTTTTTGCTAATTTTATACTAACATTCCCAAAAAATTGTAAGTTGGAGCACCCAACAAAAACAATAACTATTGTTAAATCTGTTTATCTACAATAAGGTTGAAAAGAACCAAAATAGGTTGCTGTAGCAATGATCAGAATAACATGATTGACCTGTAGTGCCCATTGAGGGGTGAAGCAGGTGGAACAATAATAAATAATAAATAAATATACGGCTAATAAAATTTACAAACACATATTTTAAATGAAGGAATGTTTCATGATCTAGCTGAAAACAATGCATAGAACCTAATGTAAAATTCTCATTTTTTTTACAAAACTGAATTTCTCTTTTGGAATCTAAGCAGCAATCAAAATGCCAAAATTATATGTTAAAAACGGAAGAACAATTAATTGTGAAACAAAATGGTCACTGAAAATTTATAAACTTTTAATCTTTCATTCAGCTAATGTATTACATCTTGAAAATACATGAAATTATCAATTATAATCAAATTATCATTATCAATATTATATTTTAACTTTGCTTTATAGATATAATTAATAAAATCTATGAACACACACTTCATATGAAGGAACATTTCATGATCCAGCTGAAAACAATACATAGAAACTAATGTAAAATTTTTACTTGTTTACAAAACTGAATTTCTCATTCATAAACTATATTAATGTCCTACATTTACTTTCAATAGCTTCTTGCATAATCTTACCCTTGACTTAATTCTCATGTTAGAGAAAGTGACATAAGTAAATGCTAACATTTCATTAACATACTAATAGACATTTTGCTGTTGGATTCTAGCATTAGATGATATATACCTAACTTCTACAGAAGCGATATCTTTGATGATGCAACAAAGGATTAATTAAATTTTTCAAAGCTTTGTGACTACTTTTAGACATATAATATATAGTGAGTAAAAAGTATAAAATTAGTCATATGTCCTATTTGATAATTATTATAATTTAGTTTTTGTCCTACTTTAGAATTTTATAGTGTTGTAAAAAGTAAAAATTATTATGTTTGCTATTTGATATGTTTATTAACTACTAAAAAAACTTGTTGCAGTGTTACTATATAGCAGTACTTTTGAAAGTTTACTAACAAACTTGTTAGATACTTTTGTATGCTTTAAAATAACTTTCAAAAACTGGTTTAAATTTACTAAAGCATTTTAAAGCATGAAAGTTACTTAAATTATTTATTTATTTAAATTTTTTTAAATCAGAAGAAGTATATATTTAATTAGATTAAAGATGAAAAAAATTCTTTAACATTCTGATCAGCATATTTAAATATGCTACATAATTTTTAAGGAAACATTTAAAGCCACAAAACAGAAAAATAAAAAGTTTTTTTTTTTCATCATAAGCTTTACTATATTTAAGTTTTTTTAATTCAATAAATGCATGACTTGAATATTTTAGATTTTGAATTTCATATTACAGATTCGTATATTTTTAAATTTAAAGTTAAAAAACAGAAAAACAAGATAAGCAAGCACTTATATTTTCATGCCAATAAACCGATCTGTGAGATTACTAATACAGTGGAGTATAACAATAGCATTCTTACAAACATTTAACTTATAAACTTCAGTATTTTATGAACTGTGACATTGCTGCCAAAGATTTTAGGAAATTTTAAGAAGTTCATGAATTCTCATTTATAAACTTTGTATTTCGCAAACTTATTTCTGCAGGCCTTGCAAATTCATAAAAATGAAGAGACCCATAGTGTGTCATATTTACAGTATTTTATAAATAACATATTATCTTACAGGTTATTATTAGAAAGTAACATTATATTTTAAATGCAAATGTTTTTTACTATAACATATATATATATTTTACTTTTAATATAATTTTTTTAATGTAAAAAATACTTCAGGCAGAAACTTAATTTACAGTATAGTATCAACAATAAGCTTCAGTTAAAAAACACAATCACTTAAATTACTTCATATATCTTTTACATACATACAAATCCCAAAAATTTTTGGAACTGCAAATAAATAAAAGTACATCATATCATTTTGGGGTAATACTATATTAAAAAAAGAAATCAGTACCTTTCCAACTCTACCAATGCGTTGGGCTAATGCTGGAGGCTCTTCATATGAACCAGACAACCTGTTGTAACTCTGAAGACAGAAAATTCTCATTATAGATAATTTTATTTGCCATAACACTGGATCAAATGTGTATTAGATATTTAAACACTTAAATATCTAATAAATAAATTTAAATATATATATCAGTATTTAAACACTTTAAAACACTTCAGTAAACACAAATGTAAGTAAAAGATCACATTCCAAAAAAAAAATCTAAAAATAAAATAATAAATTCTTAAAATCCTTTTATAAAAGAAAACTGAAGAAATGCAACATGCAATGTCTTAATGTCAAACAAGGTGTTACTAAAAGGAAAATCTTTCTTAATCTATCATAGAAAGAGAAAATTATTGCAATGACTGAATAATGGCACTGTTGATTAAAAAATAGGAAGGATGACATCATCAAATAAAAATAAGCAGATCCTTGGCAATCTAAATCTTTAAAAAAAAAAAAAAAAAAAAAAAAAAAAAAAAAAAGACCTCAGGTTCAGAAAATGAAAATTAAACAGAATTATTTTAAACTATAAACTGATAGTAACATTATTAACTAAATTATAATTTAGAAATTTGCGGTCTGTTTCCCTTTAAACCAGCAGTTCTCAACCTTTTGATTAATGCATACCATCTAAACAAAAATTTGAAACCTTTAGTACCACCACTAAAAAGTACTACCACCACCACCACTCTTGAACAAAAATCAGATTGCATAAATTTGCGAGTATTAGAGAAAAAAACTCAATCAGGATGTTGGGATTTTAATTTTTGAATTTAATAGTTAAAAATATTTTGCATCTTTCCGCACCACCTATTTTTCTCTTGCGTACCATCAGTGGTATGTGTAAGAAATACAAAATTCTGTGAACATATATACTAAAATATTAAACATTATAACATGTTAATGAAATAATAACAAAATATATAAAAAAAATTCTTAAATATTTTAATCTGATATAGAAAGAAATAGTCTTTGCAAATGATTTTCTAAAGAAAACTGAAGGGCATTTACATTGCATATAGAAAAAGGCAATAATATTCCATGCATCCGACAAATGACTGGGAGATGAACCTAGGATGAATTATCAGTGTTCAGGTAGTTTTATTCATACGCCCACTGGTGGGTCTAAATCCGGAGTAAATGAATTTATGAAAAGCAGTGATTGGTTAGATTATTTTAAGCATCATCATAACATAAGCTTTAGTTCAATATATTGTGAAAAACTGTCAGTTTCTCAGGAAATCATGCCACATTATAAATAAAATATTCTAAAAGAAAAATGGTACTTCTATGTCACAATGGTCATGAGTAAAAATCAGAACTGGTGCATTTCTGTCTTGTTGAAAAACAAATAATGTTCTATCTGTACACATGCCCATAATGCATTTCTTCAGCTACTGGAAATTTTCTCTGTTTTTCTTGTTAAATATTTTATATGCTAGCTATTTTTAATCTTCATCTCATAAGGATCAGAAAAATAGCAGAACAAAAAGTAAAAGGGGACTCTCCATTAACAAGAGTCCTAATTAGCACAGCTTATGTTTATGCACTATGTTGACTATGATAGTGTGTTTGACACATTTTTAGCAGCAACTGCTGAAGTATGCACACCAGAATGAATCTTTAAAATAATTTTTGTATATGCTTCTGTATGTTATTTATTTAAATAAATTCCTTATAAAGTTGTATCAAATAAAATAATAAATATAAATTTCTGTTAAAGTGCTTCTGCACACATACGTTAAATAAATTGCATATTGTAGATATTGAATGAATTGCTTACACATATCAGTAAATGTAATATTCTTAATTGTGATAAAATGTGACAATTTATTTTACACACCCCAAAGGCAATGGTTTTTAAAGAAGGAACTTTCAGCAATGAAACTGGAGAATATGATAATTAGAATTTCTTTTTGTAGTTGATATGCACGGCAAAGAAATGATTCAACCACCTGCTGAAGGAACATCTAAGCATTCATACTGAAAATGTCAGAATTTTACTTGTTGATTATATTAATAATTAATGTGTCGATAACAAAAGAATTTTCAATCATATCAAGAGGAAACTTGACAAGAAATGTTTTCAGCAGAAATCAAAAGAGTTTTCTCAATTACTGCTCTTTCCATCTTCTAGAAATCTCTCTGCAATTGAACTGCCTCTCATTAACAGATCCCAGATTAATGTACTAGTTCATTAAAATTGCAAATGATACTATTAACACTAAAATTATTGCACTAGATGATAGGCAAATGATAAGATTCTTTTGGCATAATCATAGAAACACCATAAGCTTTTGCTGTCTACATCCAGGAATCTTCTTTGATGCTTATTTAATGGAAATAACTGTTATCAGTTAGAAATTGAAGATTCTTAATTTGAATAATATCTGCCAGTTGGTACTTATTTTATAGCTGCTAAAAGAATAAGGGGGAGGGGAATTGCCATATAAACTTTTGAATGTGCAAATACTCTTGATGTAAAAGATAGCTTAGAACCTGATTTTCTGATCTATAAAAGAAGTTGTACAAGCCATGGATCCAATGAGTTAATTTTATGAAAACAGCACACAGAAACGTGAGGAGTTCTGAAACACTTTTTATTAAAAGAAAAAGACTAAAACACACCATAATTCAAGATTTTTGCAAATCAAGCAATGTTTAACAAAAACTGTATCCAAACAATGCGATTTACCAACAATAATGAATATATATAACATCACAGCTTTGGTTTTTTATATAATCTTGATCTTAGTAAGCGAATTTAGTTTTTACAAAGAAAGATATGTTAGCTGCTATTTCTGTGTTTTTCTCATGCATTTTGAAAGAATTATTAATATTTGGGTTCTGCCTTTTACTGAAGAGAAGGTAGCAGAGTATTTTAAAAGTCACAAAATCAAGACATTCAAAGAGAGACATTTGGCAAAATGACTTAAAAAAAAACACAGCATAACTTATCAATACCATGAAGATTCTCATTTAAGATTTGTGTGGCACAGAATAAATAAAGAAGATGGTTATTTTGTTGCTATTTTAAATATCATTAAAGATTTCATTGTGAGATTGCTGTGAAGTTAAGTCTTTATGAAATTTTTTGACAGATAATCTTAAAGCTTGACTTCATGTTAATTTTATGATTTTCTACATGCTATCCATTTATTATATAATATTCATAACTTGTAGCTGTTTATCTATCTAAATAAAAGGATATCTGTTTTTTCAAACTTTCATTGGAATGCTTGATGCAGTCATCGATGCCAAATTTCAAAGGTGAAGAGAAAACATGCAAGTACCAAATAATAAGTAATCATTAATTTTACTGCTTATTAATTAGTACTTGTGTATCTTCCGAAGTAAATATGTTAATAAATAAACTAATAATGTATCTTTTATCATAATTTATATGACCATTCTTATAAAGGAAGTTAGTCAAGAAATTATTATGAATCATTATATAATGAATTTATGTTGGAAACTTAAGCAATGAGAAACAGTTCATTACATTAATATCTAGACAGATGAATAAGATTTTAGATATTTAATGACAAAAAGAGATTTTAAATCTAACTATTGTTGCTACCTGAGGTTACAAATAAATATATTATTTGTTTTCATTATGAGCAATCAAAACATATTTCTTACAGATTAAAATATATCAAAATCTTTAAAATAAAAAAATGGGAAAATTCTTATCTAATCAAAAATTACATAATGATACTTACTTCTGTAAAATAGAATCGATCTGGGCCTTTTTTAGAATATTCTTCTGGTGATTCCAATAGATTTTCACTATAAACTACATAGCATTTCCCTTCAATATTTGAAAATTCCACTGAAAATTCTAGAATAAAACATCAAAATAATAACCACACAAAGTTCCAAATCTTGTGTTTTAACAAAATAATGATTGTAAAATACTATATCACTTATTAAATATCCAAATTAAAACTTTTCATGAAATATTTAAAAATCATACATGATTAAGAAAGTAATTTTATCATTGCATGAATTTTTGTCAAGACTTGAATATGTGAATATTAGAAGATTTCATAAATAGCCTTTTGTTTCAGAGATTATCAAAATGTTTCACGTTGTAGCAATTCTTTTGTTAGTGCCAACATAACTCTTCTTTCTTTCTTCATTTAAATAATTTTAATGTTTACATAAATTGAACTAATTAAATAGTGAAATAAATAATACCTCATTATAACATCTACCACACATTTATTGCAAGTCATCCGTACACCAAAATGCAAGCCAAAGCATTGAAGCTTGAATCACAGTACTTCAACTTATATTCTAAACAAGCTATTCGGAATATATTGTTGTGGAAAAAATTAAGTGTTATTTCTTAAAAACTAATAATATGGTGCTCAATAGTCAGCTACAAATTTACTTAGTTATGTATTATGTTTGATCCTGTTTGTTTTCAGTTCCTTTGTTATGTTCAAAGATGAAGACAAACTAGCATACGAATTTCATTCATGTAAAATTAATAAATTCATTAAAAAGCAATTTCATACTAAAGTAAAGTTTGTTATATTTCTGTAATATGAAAAGCAATTGCTTTCTTAAACTGCAAAAAGTCACCAACCTGCAAATAGTAATGACACAAAACTTTCTTTTTCTAAATTTAAAAACATACTACAGAATGTAGTGTGTTGTAACAGAAGTTACGCATTTGTACTATGTGAATTAACAAAACAGTGTCTACTTAAATGGAAATCATAAAGTCAGACAGCAGTGCTGGTAATATTGTCAGAATTGGAACAATTTGAGCATTAATTTAAGGAATTATTATAATGCTGATCAATTATGTTCTAATTATTTGCATTACCAGTTATATGCTAGGGTTACTTTAATTCTTTAGCCATAAAAATTTCATGAAAGTACAAACCCTAGGCTATGAATTTTTTAAAAAATTATTGGAGTTAATCATATACTGCAAAATTTTTACCATTAACCCCTTCCCAAAACCACTCCATGTTTTGCTCCCCTGTTTGCAATAAAATTATTATCCTAGGCATAACTTAAATGCTTAAAGTTCATATTTTTGTCTGTACATAAAATAGAATTTCTTGATAGTGCCCTGATGATTTTCATTTGTATGTTCTCCTAACCATATAAATTGCCTTGCATGAACAATATTTTATGTTACAATACTTTGATGCAGCATAGCACTGCATAGTCTGTTAAAAATTCTTTTTTAATATTAGTACATTTCATGTGTAAGGTGTACAAAAAGAAACACATTAAAAATTTACATACCTTCATCACTCCAATAAAGTAGATTTAAGTCAGACTGAATGCTGAAGTCAGCTTTTTTATTAGTATTTTCAGGGCGATAAAACAGATTTACTAGGACATGTGGCATAGAAGATTTGCCTTTATTTTGATATATGCTCTTAACATATCCAATTTTAAAGGGTTCAGGTACATCCAGATTTGAACCCTTGATATAACCACTTTTTCGGTAAGCTTCTGGATACATGTCTGGGTCAAGCTATATAAAATAAATACATAGTTAATTGATAAAAAATGCATAAATAACAACGAAATACTTAAGAAGGCATTTCATTAAAATGCAAAGAATATGAAGTCATCTGCAATTTTTATGCAATTCTTACCATAGTCAAATTTTGAGGGGGGATTACCTACGAAAATCTATAGTATAGAGCAGGAATTCCTAACCCTGTGCCTGTCGCTGTGCAATCACAATAAAAATGTTTTAGTTTGCAATAAAATTCTATATGAAAGTTTTCTCATTTTTAATGAAATAGAAATTGCATACAAAACAGATACCAGCACAAAGCGGACCAATCTCTTTTTTTTCGGGGGGGGGGGGGACATATAACTTTACACAACTATAAATTCACTATGAAAACGTAAATGGTGCCGGCCCTCCACCAAACATTCTAGAATGTGCTCTTAGGGACAAAGAGATTGGGAACACCTGGTATAGAGGATTGGTATAAAATGGACAATGAATCATCACAGAAAAAGTCATGCAATGATATATGGCTAAGAAAACATTGTACAAGCCAATCAGATTAAAATAGCATATTTTTCATTATTGAGACAAACTATAAAAAGCTACCATGTTTACTCATGTAATAGTCATACTTTTTTGCCAATTTTTCATTGTGAAAGCCCAGGTGTGACTATTATGCAGGTAAAATTTACTATACAATACCATACACTTTTGATGATATTTTCTACTTCAAAATGGGGTGTGACTATAATGCAAGTAAACACGATATATTGTACAATCACTTGATTGAGCTTGTTAACATTTAAATAGTATTACGAAATGATCAAAGGGAACAGAATTACAGAATCTAAAAATTAGAGCTTAGGAATACATTCCCAATAAGATATAATACTTATATGAATTTTTGACTGATATTAAACTGATTGTTTTCCTTTCTCTATGGAGTATTACTGTAAATCTTAATTTGATACAGAATTTTAAAAAGAAAATTGAACATAATTTTTGAAAAATAAAATATACATAGATATATATTTCTGTTTTAACCACCCCAAAAACTAACCAAAGATGTGAATAAAAATTAAATTCCATGTAGTTTTTCATATTTTTTAAATATAATTTCTTTTTAAAGAGCTTAAGTACATGAAAATTGTAACTATGGAAATCAGCATTATTAATAACCATAAAAAAGGAAATGATATTAATTCACAGTTATTTTTAAATTTTAATCTTATAACATTCTTAAACATGCAAATTCTAAATACATTTTGCAGTGCATGGTTGAAGAAATTAATAATATTTGTTCGCTCAAATAAAATAAAAATTTTTATCTTTAATAATTATAAACATATGCTATCATACATTTCCTTAGCCTAATAATAGTGTTTCCCTTTTATAAAAATAAAAAAAGCATTCAACGGTAACATTGCACTATGCACTGTAAAATTGAAAATGTATACTCCTAGTCAAAAGCATTATTATACATGTTTCAATAAAACATTTAACAGGAAATTTACACTTAAAAAATTAATCCTTCAGATCTGAAAAATAATCTCAATATGGATATAGCAAGGTCAGTTATTTAAGTTTCATGAATTCAGATTGGATATCACATCTTTAGATTGTTCAAAAAAGCATCCTTCATCCTGAGTGATATACAACAAGCAAACACTATAGACGAGGGTTATAGAAATTTGCATCTGGAGATGAAACTATCGAAAATACACCCATCCTAGCAGATTAATGAAATTCACCTGAAGGACCACACCTAGTCAGATCAAATTATAAAGAACTGCAAAACAATAAAATATGAATAATAAAAACCCTCTATATTGACTGGCTTGGAATACCACAGAAGCTCAGCAAGTGGATTCTTCATAAACTGAATGTATAGCCAACAAATTCTATTGCATTATTAACCATATACTCTTCTTTTCTCCAGCTGCAGAACCAAATCATTTATAAATAGCATATTTACAAGCCATGAAGAGTGCATGCAATGCAAGAACATAAAGTGTTCTAACTAAAGATTTTCATTAAATGATTTAAAGCCACTAACAGCAAATTCCAGCAACACTCCTCTCCCAAAGAAAAGTGCTAACTTGTGTTTAGAAGACCACCACTAGGACTGTTCACAGTGATCTTTCACATGAAGAAACCATGTGTCATCTGAAATGAACTTAATACTGTTGCAACAGCTTTCAAATAACCTAAAAGCTCTTTTTCATTAAGATGTCAGACCACATACTGGAATAGGAATTTAATTTAATGTCAGACTATATGCTGGAATAGGAACTAAGCAAATGATTACCAGACTTAACTAGAAGATCTGCATTATCCCAGGCATATCCCTTGAACATCTTATCTTCTGACCTATATACAAACTGGCAATATCAAGACCCAAAATTGAAGTTAATATATAAATTTACGAAAGAGAAATGCTGTTATATAGCTAGAATAGATATTAGGATATGAAGGTGACTATTTTTCATGAATCAACTGTCTTTACTTTTTAAATTGCATATTTTCCCCCCTCTCTAGGTTATTAGTATTGAAATAAAACTCTCAAGATTGAATTACAAGAAATCAAAGATGATAAACCATGACATTTGAGTAGAAATGTACACTATCTGGACTATTCTGCAGAAATTAATGATTAAAGAAGCTTCACAAATGTATATTACCAGCAGAGGAAAAATTTGGTTTCTCTCTTTTGTTATAAAACAGAAGCCATTTGCATACTTGTATCACTGATCCAATATGTCATGATATTTTAACATAATTAAGTCAGTTATCTACAATCATTTTCTTATCTCTGATTTGCATCTATGCCACTTTTAATTGCTTTTACCTTTAAAAAAGCCTTTTAAATTAATTTTACAATTATGGAGTAAATTAAATTAAAAATTGTCCACTTTTCTTACTGTATTTATAGCTTATATTTTAATGTTTTCTGAATTTATTTTTTTACAAAACAAAGCTGTTGTTATAAAGAAATTAGGAGTGCAACAAATTTGAGAATTCATAGCACAGCTTCTTAATGTAACTTAAAAAGCAAGTTTAAAAGCTCTTTGCAGGAGAAATTTATGATGGAACATTACTACATTGCACAAATAGTGAACTATAAGTGAAATGTTTCTTGAATTTTTCACAATAGTTTAAAAAAAAAAAATTTGAAAAGAAGTATAATTATTTTTAAAACAGACTTCCTACGAAAGATAAATGAAAATGGTTGGGGGGGAAAGGCTTTTAATTCTTTTCTAATAATATTTAACATATAGAATAAAGAAATGATATTTTCCAGTATTTCAATGCAGGATAACTAGTGCACAACATTAGTGCTTTTATCTTAATTATTACACAAAGCTATATACGTAAATATGATTGTCAGATAAATTTTGAAACACTTGGTTGTACTAACCTCTTGCTGTGATGTATCACTTTTGTAATTTTCTTGTTCTTTTTTTGCAGAAAAAGGAAAATCAACAGCATTTGGATTGATAAATACACAGTCACCAGGACATATCACATGCCCAAGGTAAACAGCAGATTTAAAATATGTTCTTTTCTTGACCTCATCTGTTTCTAATATATCCAGTTCTACACACTTTTCCTAAAGAAAAACAGTAAATGATCAGGAATTTTCAATCAGTAATAAACTGGGGGGAAAACAATATTTTGCAGATAAGTGAAAAATTCAAACAAACACCTTTTATCATTTATTAGAATAGCTGCTCACCTCAAAATATGAAAAAAGTTGGAGGTTCTTGCACCAAAAATTGGGAGTTTCCAGAACATTTTCACACTCAAAGAACTCAAAATTGATTTTAATTCTGCTTTATTATCCCTGATTCAGTTTACTCAACTATTTATAGTGTGATTCTGATACAAATTATATTAATACTTAATTACATATTCTAAATTTTCTGCTCTCTGGTTAATTTTGATTAATAATAATCATATACTTTTTTGCAATGAGAAAATTCTATGTAGAGAAGGAAAACTTTAATTTAGAAAAACTTTTAAGCACGGCAAAAATACAATTAATAATTAATATACATACTATTGTGTGGATAAACTTAGTAATGTACCATACACTGATGAAAAACAAAATTAAATATAAATATTCACAGATTAAACATTTATTTGAATCTTCATATAAAGTTCTACAGATGTCTACAACAGATTAAGACAAATTATATCAAATAAAATGTAACAAGAAAAATTATACTGAAGCTTGGTAGGAAACAGGGGGCAGGGGGATCAAAATTTGCACAACTTAAATTTCATTAATTAAATAATGAAACAAACTATGTGCATTTTATTTGCACAAATTAAATTCATTAGCATAATTTAATTTTATTGCTGAAAAATTTAAAAATAGAAGTTTCAGAGATGCAATGCAAAATCAGTTCTAGCTGATTTTTCGTTGCATCTCTGACCCCTTGCAAATGGCGGCTACTTTACAGTGTCTTTTAAAGAAAGTTTCTAATTAAAAATTACTTAAGTGAAATTGTAAAAAAAAAAAATTCCCCACAATTATAATCACAATTAGATAAAAACGATGAATTTCTTGTATTTCAGGGGGGGAAATTACATCAAATTACACACAAAAAATTAATATATATGGTAATGATAATCCTTAATATCCCCTTCCTCTTGTGCCTCTATATTTCGTATAAAAGTCAGATTATATTCACATATGTGATTAAACAAAATAAGCAAGCTTTTAATGGAGTTTCTGTAAATTTTTCAATAACAATTTTCTTTGTTTCTTTGACGACTTTTGTTAATGTTTTACCTTCTGACATTCCCAGAATAGCGAGAATGAAAACAAAATTAGAAAATTCAGAATTAAATTAGGAGAAGAGACAGACCTATTGCTAAAATGCGTGGCCATTACAACCACTTCAGCTAAATTTTAAGTCTCACTGTAGTACATAAACATAAAACTCAACTACTTCTTGCATTCTTTTGAAATTGTAGTTTACATTATGCACTGAAAATCTGCTTGGTTGTTCTTTAAGTTACACTGCAGAGCATTTTATTTGAATTTAAATTTTCTCTTGTTTTAGAATACAGCCCATCAGCTAGAAAATTCAGTTTATTTTCTATTATGCAACTGAAAGGAAAGATAGTGACATATTATATGCATGCAACACACACATAATTTTAAACTGGGTTAAGGAAAAGTGTTTCAGAAACTTTTTACAAGCTTACCTTTTCTTCCTCTTTCGCTCGCAAACAACCTAAGCAACTGTGCCAGTTTTCTGGTGGTGGAGCATCAACAAAGCGACAAGTCTCAGATTCATACCTATAAAAATAATCAGTCATACTGAAGTTTAGTCTTCATAATAAATAATAATAATAATAAAAGATACTGAATTTAGTCATCAGATAATGTAAGATTTTAAAAAGGAGAGAAAGAGTAAAAATTCATAACATCCCATGCTCTTTAGTTGAATGTTAATTCTTTTCTTACATTACATAAGTAAACAGCAATATTTCCTGAAGACTTATGAAGTACGAATAAAAATTAATGAATACTATATAATTCTACGAAATATATTTCACGAATATTTTCCATTACAATGAACTGCTATCAACAAAGATGTTACAACTCCATCTCCCATTTGCAAAACATTAATACTCTTTATACAAATTTGTTAATACTTATTTTAAAAAAGAGATGATTTTAAAACAAGCCATTTAAAATTTAAGATAGCAATAAACTTAAATCAAAATAAAACTACATTTTGCACAAATAATAATAGAGAAGGGAATTTAATTGTCAGTTGATCCAAATGTGGTTTAAATACTATAAATAGATTAGTAAAACACAACTGCTTATTATTTTTATAATAATGCATTGTCTTTTTAAAAAAGAACACCTTTTGAAAATTTAAACCCTAAAATAAATTGAATACATAAGGGAAATTTAATTTATTAATTATTTCATTTTACTTATACTGTTTAATGGATGCATTACTTTTAACAAAATATTTAAATTTCAATTTATATTTATGAAAAGTCACAAATCATGTTTTTCCTATTTCTTGGCATGAGTTTACAACTAAAAGTCTCAAAATACAAATTAATTTATATGAAACAATAAGAACAGTAAAAGTGCAGTAGAATATGCATATATAATGCTAAAACATAAAAAGTTTAACTTCATTTATATAATTTATTCAAATATTTATCATAAAGAGAATTTTTAATGAACTTTCATGATGTAATGCAAAGAAATTATAATAAAAATTTCTCTTTCAATACTAAAAACAGGAAAAGTGCCTTTTAAAAATTACACTATTAAACTATAAATATAGCTTTCAACATGTCCTTCAGTGATGTCTATAAAACATGTCCATCAAAGAATCTTGTCAAATATCAATAAAAAATTTGCAATCTCAAGTCTTTACAAAAAAAAATGTTGTTTAAAGACATTTTAAAATATCACACAGAAATATACTTAAAAGTAATTACCATTTTTTACAGTAAAATGATTTTTCATCAGTTTCATCATATATTTCATACATTGACAGTGATTCTTCAGTTCCTCCAAGCTGAGACCAGTTTTCAGGTATAGCTTGATATTTAACCTAAAACAAATTGAATAAGATACAACTGAGATTCCAAGCAGAATTGCTTACAAGTATATTACACTAATAAATGTAAACATTTTTTTTGAATGGTTAGTGATAACTTACATGGCTTTAATAACATACATGAATCATTTAATACCCTTTACTACAACGATGTTCACAAAAGATAGGTTTTTAAGTGATTCTTTTTATGAATCGATTAAAATTTACCAAACTTACCTCACATAAACTGCTTATTGAAATTATCTCCTCATCATCACATTCAAATGTACCAAAAACTTCATTGGGATCAGATGTTTCTCCCAGAACAGTTTCAGACCCACGACTAAAAACATACAAATGAGTATTGTTTATCTACCTCATTAAAATCTACTTTTCAGGTAAATGATAAAAATATTTTAAAAAAAGAAAGGGGGAAATGGCGATGCAACAAAAATAATAGGTTTTTCAACGAAACTTGTATGCCAGCAATATGCAGATCAAAAGCAGAAGCATTATAATGGAATGTAACAATCTTTACATGATCTTTGCAACATAAATACTATGGTACTGTATTTTCATTCACTCACTTTTAATATAAGGCAAAGAAAACTATTTTGTTCTGATGCCTAGCATTTCTCAAAAAATTTATTCTAAAAATTATATGTAACAAAACTGAATCTGATTATTTTACAGATTAATATCTAAATAATATTAATAATGCAATGAAAATGATAACATAATGAAAATGAAATTTCTAACACCATTACATATATAATTTTTAATGAAATCATTAGAAAAATTGTATTTTTTTTTTAACTGTAAAGTATTTGCTTAATGTAAAGTTATAATTAATATTTTAAATATTTTCTATGTGATTTCATATATATGTCACCAGTAAAGTGGAATACATAAATATGCGGTCACAAAAAGAAACATATGCAGAAAATAATACTTCCAAAAATGTTTTAGTAATTTCTATCACGAAATGTTTTTTCTTTTCATCTAAGTTGCCTTTTTCTTTTGAATTGATACATATTTTTTTGCATGATATTTGAATAGATTGAATACGTTCCTTTTTTGATGATATACATGGAAGTAAGATGATATTTGATGATATACATGAGTCCATCCTAAAGTAAAGTTCAAGAGAGCTTCAGCTATGACATGGATACATATGCTACATTTATTGGTGTGACATAATGACTACATCTTTTACTTTTACGCACAGTTTTAAAACATGGAATGTAATAAAACAAGACCTTAAAAGCTTAAAACCTGTATCTTGTTTCATGTAGTTGTTAGTTTTAAAGCATTAGCATTGTGACACATAGCATTCAAGAATATTAATTTTATAAAAGACATAGTAGAATGTAAACTTCTACTCGTAAATGCCAGTACAGAATTATAACATTAAAACAAATAAGTCATTTATACAAAACTATATGAGTAAAACCAACCTAAACCATAGAGCATGATACATCTTTTTGCCACTGGATGTTTCAAACATAGACATGATCTGTGCAATATACATTGGTGTACTAGGGTCAGCTGGTGAAACCAAAACATAATCAAAACACTGAATGACCTAAAAATATAAAAAAAAAAAAAAAAAAAAAAAACATACACACTAAATAAAAAAATCTGTATAAATAATTAATTCTAAAGCAACTAATTTTCAATCAATCTTTTTTCTTCAGAAGAAGGAATGAATTATGAATAATAAAATTAATTTTTATAAAGTTTTGCTTACTAGATCTCCATTAATAGATGCTTTTTCATAAAATGTCTTAGAAGATTCCTCTTCTTTCTTTACTGGCTCTCCAATCCAAGAAATCACAATCTAGAAATATAAATATGTAAATCATATAAGCAAATATGATATTTAAGATATCAACAAATATGATATAATAGGCCTCAAACATTATACAAAAGAAAAACCTCACCTTTTCCTTTGTCTTTTTAGCATGTCTAGCTGCAGAATTACTTTTAAAAGACTGCACTTTCTGCAAAACATTCAAAAGGAAATCAGAAACAAATGAAATACATGTAAATAATATGCATAAGTGCACAAGTAAATAAAATTCAACTATAACAAAGACTTGGTAGCTTTCATGTCATGCAATATCACATATCTCCTCCTTAAGTTGATCAAAAGTCACTTTTATTCATGAATTTAATTCTTTGTCTATGTGCTGCAGGGTGCAAATGCATTATTTTATAACAGAAAATGTTATACAAAATTGGACAATTTTTTTCTTGTGCATCATATTTAATACATTTTCTGCTCCATTAAAAAAAATGATGCTTCCTGAAGTAGTGTTTCAATATAAAGAAATGCATATAAAACTTGTGCTTTATTGCCTATTTATTTGAAGAAAAAAAAGCCAGGAACAATTTATTATAGTTCATACATATAAATGGAGGGTTACTAATCTTTAAATGCTGAAATCATATCAATTCTTTCTGAATACACAGTTGAACACATCATTCCATGTATCTCACCATCGGTTAAAACATCATTTTATTAATCTCCTTTACTCTGTTAATAATGCTCTATTTTAAATCAGGTATTACATGCCCTATGTCATTGGAAACCTATGCTATATGCTTTATTAATGATGTATGTTATGTGGATTATTTAAAGCAGAAAATTTCTAACAAATTAGTGATATTGATAAGATAATGTTCCAACAACAGCATTAAACATTTATTTCAAAGGTAAGCAATCTCATACGGATACTCTATATTTGAAACAATAAATTCTTGCTAGCATTTATTCTTAATATAAAATACTCTATAGTAGGAATTCTGAATGGTGTCAGTATTGATCCCCAGGAGGGTCATGAAATTGTAAAGGGAGTAAATTATCATCTAGGTTTGATAGCTGAATAAACACCAGCAATTCATCAACATAATGCAGATCTCATTGATTACAAAATTATTAATAAAACTGATAATTAATTGTTTGTTGATATAAGGTTGATGAAGAAGAAAACAAATAAAATAAATATAAGGAAAAAATATAATACCGATTTTAAAATATATTAAATATTTTTAAATCAATTATGCAATAAAAAAATGCAAGAACATAAAGAAACACAATAAAAAAAACATGAAGAATGCAAAACTAAAATGAAAAAAAAAAAAAAAAGGTTGAATATTTTAATAAGGTAATTAAAAGTTAAATTATGCATTTTATGCTAAGTATTAAAAGAAACTGCATCAATGCATCAAGCACAGCCATTACATTAATTAAAATCAAACTTTTGGTCAATTAGAATATAAGATTTTGCTTCTGAAAACATGTTAACATTTGTACAATTAAATATAATTATAATACACAAAAATAATTTAACATAAATCTAATAATTCATTTTTACAACTCTTATTTATATTCTTAATCTAATTGTTATCTTTAAGTTATTTATGTGCAATTATTTACATTATAATTATGTTGCGTACTGTATAACTAAACAGAAAAATGTAAAGGGGTCGATGAAAAGAACCATTTGTCTAAAAAGGGTCAATACAATGCTCAAGGTTGGGAATCCCTGCTCCATAGTTTTTTAACAAGAAAGTTCTGCTGCATTTAATATATGTTATGAAATGTTAGACAGGATGGTATGATTCTACTTCCAATAAAATTCTGCATTCAAATGATGTACTGAAGAGCTTCATGTGTTGAAAAGGATAATCTAAAAAAATACCTTTGTAATAATTTGTTTAATGACAAAGAATATCAGAGCTGCCTAAGGTAATGGTCTCAAACTGGCAGATCACATGCAGACCCTCGGGCAATTTCATGCAGCCTGCGAATACATTTTAAATATGCATTTGTTGCAAATATTTCAAGATTTTAGTTAAATAAAATTAGAATTTACATTATTTTTTATCGTTAAAAATGAGCATGAAAAATGCAGCAGAAAATCTACAAATGGAGCTAATTATTTTACAGTGTGAAAAACAAAATTGAAGATAATCTTTGAATAAGTTTTTTTTTTAACTTTCATTTATTAACTTTTGTTAACACATCTGTCAAAAAATAAATAAGCTCAGCTCTGAATTTTCATAATAACAATTTTTGCTTTATTAAAGAGTATGTGAAAAGTGTTTTTCACAATTCAAAATTAACAAGTGTGAGAAAAAAACATGATTGATTAATGAACGTTTACAATCCGTGATGAAGATAATTTCTCAATTCAAGGCTACAAACTTTATCAGAATCAAAACACCATAAAGTAGCAAATTATAATAAAAAATAAAGTTTATAATTATTTAATCTAAGTATATGCATTTATTTATGCTTCAAAAAATTAATAAATAAGAGAAAGTGACTAATTTTTCCATAATTTGTTTACTTTTAGTTTAAATTAATGTAAATTATTTAATGATTAGTTAAACATGTTAGAACTATTTGAAGGCTGTCGATATACTTGATTTACTAAGTGAAACCCACAAAAATGTCTTGCATGTACCAAATTTTAGATTTCAGATAAAAAATAAACATAAATTGAATTATTTTCCTCTGCTATATTATTACTATTGTTTATATATGCTAAATAGTTAGCAATCAGAATTTAAAATATTTTTTGTTAATTAAAAATTTTAATTTTGTTACAAAATAATTCTGGCTCATCAGCTTTTTTAGATCATCCATTCAGCCCTCATGCTATTAAAGTTTGAGACAATTGGCCCACTGACCAATTTAACTCCACAAGGGATACATGATCTCATGGAAATTTTTTTAAAGGGAAAGATTACAAAAATTTCATGCAGCCGTCTATCTCATATGCTAAATATTTATCTTGAATTACCGGAGTTTGTCAATCTATTTCATTTTATCCCTGGTGGCCACATTACTTAATATAATAATGAGGGATTTTTTTTACATGATAAAAAGTTACTCTCAATGCTACTGTTATCATTAATGTTGATAAGTTATAATAATATTGAAGATTTCAAGTAAACATTTATTCAATGCCCAAAAATTTCTCCCTTCATTTTCCATACAAAGTGTACTTATTCTGTTATACCCATTTATTTGATTACAATTTTTTAAAGTTTTTATAGACTTACAGACTTTTCAAAGTACCAGCCTATTCAGTGCATAGTGGTAAGTTACAATATTGCAGCATATTTTACAGCACAATATATGCATGTGGTATAAGAAATTATATAAAATTTTTAAACAAGATGACACTAAATATCAGGCTCTCGTAGCCAACATTTGTCATTATTTTCAGCAAAATAACTTGCATATTATCATAGTCATAGACAAAATATTTATTCGTCTGTTTATTATTATTATTATTATTATTATTATTAATTTTATCTGTTTTGATGAATTTAATTTCTAAATCAGAAATATGCCATTCTGAGGTATTTATTTTGGCTCAAAATAAAAATTGGCATATTAAGTCAACGTATATCGGATTTAAAAATTGACACAGATAAAAATCTTAAATTCTTCCCCATCTAAAAAGAAACAAAATGCTTACTTTGTCCATTGCATCATCTAACTCATCATCTAATATATCATTATCATCAGCTTCTTGAACAGCCATGTTGGGACACCTGTAAATTCAAATGTCACATTCTTTTAATTTTAAGTCAACAATTCTTATATTATTAAAAAAAAGTATATGTTAATGTTAATATTAACAGAGAAAAGGAATCAAAATCAGATTTTGAATCATAACATTTCTATCTTTCTGCTGAAGTAAATTAACCATTTAATTCTCCAGTGTCTTTCTACAGTTTCTTGTTGCCATCCACTTTTTCACTCATGCTGCAAATTAACTTCATAATTTCATTGGTCTCAAAAAGAGGCAATTGTAACTTTTAATAATTAATACCTAATCCCCAGTCCCTCACGGTAAAAAACGTGTTTTGTATTTTTATACAGGGGGAAAAATATGGAACACCTTTAAAAAAACATGTTTCTTTGCTTAATATGGTGTAGGAAACCCGTTGGCATCCAAAACAGCTTGCAGTCTTCTCGGAATGGATAAATACAGTTCCTGTATGTTTGCCAAGGGAATATTATACCATTCTTCCTGCAAAACGGTGGCAAGTTCAGATAACGATGTTGGCGGTGGATAACGAGAACGCACTTTCCGTTCCAATGTAGACCACAAAGGTTCGATAATATTCAGGTCTGGTGACTGTGGTGGCCAGGGGAGATGGGACAACTCATCCTCGTGCTCAGAAAACCAGTCCTGGACAATGTGAGCTGTGTGAACAGGGGCTTTGTCGTCTTGGAAGACACCATCACCATCGGGGAACAAAGTTTGTACCATGGGATGAACTTGATCGGCCAAAATGTTCACATAAGTCTTGGCAGTCATGTGCCCTGACACAGTTATCATGGGGCTAGCAGAGAACCACGATATGGCTGCCCAAACCATAACAGAACCCCCGCCATGTTTCACTCTTGGCAACAAGCAGTCTGTATTATAGGCTTGAGATGGCGTTCTCCAGACGTAAACTCGGCCAGAAGTGGGAAACAATGTGAAAGAAGACTCGTCAGACCATATTACTCGCTTCCACTGCTCTATAGTCCAGGCTTTATGACTTAAACACCACCTTTTCCTGTTACGGGCATTAGCATCACTGATGAGTGGCTTCTCAATTGCAGCACGGCCAGCAATTCCCTGTTTATGAAGCTCCCTTCTAATTGTTTTGGTACTCACAGGGTTCGGTAACACAACATTCATTTCAGCAGTAACTTTTGCAGCTGTGGTCTTCTTATTTTTCGTCACAATTGCCCTTAATGATCGTCTGTCACGATCACTCAGGACACACTTTCGTCCGCGCTGTGATTTAGCAGATGATGTTTTTCCGCTTTTCAAATATGCGGAATAAATCTTCGATACAGTACCTCTTGAAACACTAAACACCTCGGCTACCTTGCTTACGGAAGCACCTACCATACGTGCTCCAACAATTTGCCCACGTTCGAAGTCTGTTAACTCTGACATAATGCAATGACAACCTCACATAACAGTACTCCGACAACAACTGAACTGTTTAGCACATTTACGAAGTTGTATAGGTGGCGTCAGTAGTCAAAAACGCCAGCGCCACCTACATATTTCATTAAAATCAATCTTTCTTTTCAAACATGCATTTCACAAGGTGTTTCCATATTTTTGTCCATCCACTGTATATTCAAATACCATCTCTAGTTCAAATAATGAGTCAAATGTACTGTAATGTTGAGTACTAATTTTTATTAGACCCACCAGAGACGCCACAAACTTTAATATTATATATATACATATATTAAAAAAAGAAGCTTCTGATATAAAAATTAAACCCTGTACAGTCAAAACACGACACTTCATAATATTACCTCAGATTTCTAGAATGGTCCAGCTATGAAGGAATATGGCCACTCTGCATAGTTTAAACACTTTATTAATGGGCTTCATACTGTAAATAAAGTAGCTGATCATAGCTTATTGCAACAAACCCATTCTTCTAAAAATGAAGATTTATATATCTGGGGGGGTATACAATACTGTGGGCTGCAAAGAAAATAAAAGGCTAAAACTTTGTCTAATGCAATAGTTCTTTAAAAAATAAAAGGAATATAAGAAAATCCTAGTAGAAGATCAATACCTATTGTTTCTTTCCTGACACCTTGATCTTTTTTTTACAACTAGCTTTTGGATGTCTGAAGACATGATGTTACTCGTACTAAAGATTTTCAAAACAGAGGTCAGATGTATGCATGAAATCTAAATCTCATTTGGAACTTGTTCTTTCTCAGAAGTGATAAAAGTTGTTTAACTAATACATATTACTGAACGTGGTAATCACATACGATGCAAATTTCTGGTTTTCTGGGAAATGCACTGTTAAGTATTTTAAAATTTGGGGATGCCCACTTCACTGAATTTCTATTAATTGCATCTGTAAAGGATTTAGCACATTCTCAATGTTGGTTTATAAAATATTACTGAGAAATGAAACCGTTTTTGAGTACAAAAAAGAATCCTTTTAGCACCCAAGGTTTTACACATCTCAATATTAGGTGAGATTCCAATTTTTATTAATATATGGTAAATATTTTTTTCATTATTTCAGGCAAATCAACAACAGCAGAAATATGAGTCAAGGGCTGCATGCAGCATGCGAGTTTGACACATCTGTTGTACAAGAAGTAGCCAAGCACCAAGCAGTTTGGAGGATGATTACCATTGAAGAGTGGTATCGGTTGATCTGACTCCATAATTGAATGAAACAGCATTGATATAAAAATATTTTTCATTATACACACAGGAATAAGACTCGTACCGTGAACACTGCGTAGCAATCTTTTACTCCAATGGCGCCAGCCAAAAAAAGACAGCGAGGCGAGACAGAAGTTGTGATGTGACAGGACAGGTGTTGTTGCACCTCTTGCTGATTGACTACAGAGTATGCCCCCAGTGACGAAGTCACGATTACAAATTACAATAAATATATTCAACATATACAGAAAATGATATTGTAATAGTGAAATATAGAATATGAAGTACACTATAATAAAAATATACTGTACGTGGTATAAATACAATAGAAACATATGCATAATATAGTTTTTTTTGTTCCCGACATAATTGACAAGGCTTATGAGTTTGAGAAAACATTTTCTCTGTTTCAGTGAGTTGTAGAGGCAAATGCAGTTGGACTTTCAGTTCCGTCAGGGAGTTTGTGGGAAAGTACTATGTCTAACCCCCACTGGTGATGCATCAGTTGCTAATGTTAAGGGTAATTTTGGATCATAATGTCTCAACTTTTTGTGAACACAGTTCTTTTTTAATATTTAGAAAAGCCTCCGGACAACCCCTTGTGCAATCCCATTCTGAGCCTTAGTTAAATGGTCTAAGGGGTTTATAAATGTCGCTAAATTTGGGCAAAATTTACTATAAAAATTAACTAATCCCAAAAAAAACTTTGAATTTCCTGGACATTTCTGGTTCTCAGGGCTCTGACAATAGCTGATAATTTTTTTTCATTGGTTTTATGTACACCATTAGCATGAATTTTGTGGTTTTCGTGGTTTTCCCCATGTGTCAAGTGTATACGAGCGAGTTTCTTTTAGAAAGTCCTCCACGAAGGCATCCCTCCCTTTAGGCAGATAGCCCTCGTGTGCTTTGCCATAACTGAATAATCTAATCCAATCCAATCCATAAATTTCGTGATCTAAAAATTGTACCTGATACTGAAAACATTTACTTTTCTCCAAATTTAATTTTAGTCCATGAGTTTCACATTTTTGAAAGAAATTTTAAAGTATTTAAATTAAAATGTGCATCCTCGTCAAACCCTGTTATTTTCACATCATCCATGAATACTTCCATTCCTCGGAATAAGCCATGAGTGTAACGTTGCCAGATTGCTGGTGCTGCATTTAGCCTGAATATTAATAATCTCTTTCACTTATATAATCCCATGTGTGTACTTATTGTTAGCAATTTTTGAGTCTCTGGGTTTATTTTCATTTCTAAGTAAACATGCTTAAATCAATTTTTTTAAATGTAATGATGCTAGATTGCATCAATGTAATGTTGCCAGATTGCCAGCACTGCATTTGGCTTGAACATTAAACTCTTATACTTGTATAATTCCGTGTGTTTTTATTGCTATCAGTTTTTGAGCTTCTGGGTGTACTTCTGGGTAAGAAAGCATGCTTAAAATCAATTTTTAAAAAATGCTTTTCCCCACTCAAACATGAAAATATTTCCACAGTGCGGCAAAGGATGTTGATGCGTAACAATATCTGGGTTTACTGCTATCAAGTAGTCGGCACACAGTCACACAAAGCTGTCCAACTTAACTACAAGTACTACCGGAGTTGCCCATTCCGATGTTTCAACCTTTTCTATTATATCCTTCTTTTCCAAGTGATCAATTTCTTTATCTATCTGGACTTTTAACGCAAATGGTACTTGCCTAACTCTACAAAATATTCGTGAAGCATTCAGTCTTAATTCTAGTTGAACTTCATAATTTTTTATCTCCCCTAAATTTTTCATAAAAAATCTCTTTATATTATTCTAATAATTTATTTAAACTACTTTTTTTGAGAGACAGAAATTGACTTTATTGAGGACCAATCTAAATTTATCTCTGAAAGGCATTTTCGACCAAATATTGTATCAGGATTTTCTTTAACAATATAAAGATTTTATTTTTGATTTTGATTTTCATAAATTCTAAAGGTATTAGTTTTTCTCCATTATATGTTTTAAATACTTGTATTCTGAATTTTATCTTTCAAAATTAGCCAGAAATTTTTAAAACTCATTACTGATACTGCACCCCATGTGTCCAGTTCCATAGCTACCAGTTTCCTATTATGTTCACTTGAAGCATTATGGGTGGTTTCTTATTTTTACCTCACTGGAATTTATGCTGTTTATAACAATCGTGTTTTCGTTTTCTACATCAAGTTGCTTTTGTATGATTTTCAGCATTTTTAGGAGTACAGCATGCTCTTTCAATGTGCCTGATTTTCTAACAAAATTGGCAGATACTTGTCTTACATTTACAAGAATTCCTAACGTGGTCATTTCCTGTACATCACAAAAACATTTTACCTTTAGCACTCTGAGAAGTTTTGTTTTTCAAACTTTTGCTCTGGAGTGACTGATTTAGATTTACCTTTATTCTTGGTACTAATTTTCTGAATTTCTACAGGTTTCCAAATTACTTTGTTTGCACATTTTAATACTTTCACCATTGCCAAAGCTGTTTTTAAAGTATCATCTAAACTAATATTATCCTGCTCAAAAATTCTATTCAGAATAACCCTTAGCCCATTAACAAACACATTCCACAACATCATATTTAACATATTCTGATCATAAGCACACAGTAGGGAGTGGTTGTAACTCTGCCATATACAAATTGTTTCCCACTCTAGCTGCTTTTGATTTAAAAGTACATACCTGCTCAACATTATAAGTGGCTTAAAATTTAAATGATTTCTCAATGTTGTTTTCAACACATCATAATCTTTATTGGAAGGATTATCAAGATCAAGAGCCGACAAGTTTTTAAAAGACTATACAATTTTCCAGACAAACTAGAAATCAGTACATTCCCCACATTATCACATGAATCATTTTGTATACCTAAATAACTTTAAACTGAACAGAAAGTTTCGAATTATCAGGTTGTGGAGTAATAACTGAAGTTCGTTTGTCCATAAGAGCTTTATTTTGCTCTCTCAGTTAAGTTATTAGCTACTGCATGTTTAATTCCTCTGAAACAAAAAGGCTAGAAAACTTTTACTTTATGCCGTCTTTGGAAAAATCCCTATTAGAAAATGAAAATGAATATCCAATAGCTGAAAAGCTCTTCGTGTAGGCACTTCTTTTTGCTACTTTACAATTCCACAATCATCGTTGCCAGTTTGTTGTATCGTCATCATATACTCGTTGCATAAGACACTTTATTCACTTTATAAGACACTATTTATTAAAAAAAAAAAAAAAAAAACTTTTCCTCTACACATAAATGCATACAACACCATGACAGGCTTTCATAGTCTCTGACCTGGTTCATACTAGCTTGGTGCATGCCAGCTCTGCCTTTGATTATGTCGATAGACCACACATACCACTGCTGTGTCATATATTTAATGCCATATATCAATCTTCTGCAGGTGGATGGTCTGAGCCAGGCCTTCTGGTAGTAGTGTTTAGCTAATTGGCAACATAACCAAGATATCACATTTTGAGACACTCATATCTATATAGTGACCTTTATCTGAAACTTGACAGCCTCAAGCCTATTATTGGTTCTCCATCTCAATCCACAATAACTGCAAGAACAGATTTTAACTGAAATCAATGAATTTTTCTAGCTGGACAAACAATTTTACAGATGAATGTAAAAGATTCAGAAACTGATTACATTTACACTGGCATAAGAACACTGGCATTCATTATATTTGCCATTCCCAGATTTATACATAGCATCAATCTTTAAAATAATAGTGATAGTTCTTTTGAATTATTGCAAAATATGTGATTGTAACCTTAATTTTGGACACCAACATATATAAGAAACAAATTAATAACATATTGATTACAGCCTCTTATTTGAATGCTAAAATGCAAAAAGAAATAACACTATACATTTTGTTTTGTAAATACGAATACAGAAAATCTTTACACAATAAGTGAAAATGAATAGAAAATAACCGTCATATTTTAAAAATACAATATCTGCACCTAAATCAACAATAAATAATAAAAACAATGGAGGAACATACCGACGTTGTTTACAGGCTTGTTTACCTCTTCCTGTGCCTCCAAATTTGATCATGTCACGACAAAATGAGCATTTACCACAATCAGGAAGTTGGCATGCCTTTAAAAAATAAATAAATGAATGAATATTTTAACCTTTTCGTAAGAATATGTTTACAAGAAACTGAGTCTTTCATGTTGGTAAGCTTTTATTTATTAAATTAAGTAACGGAACAAGATTCAAATCCCCTAAACAATTGTTTTAATACAGCATTGCCCCAAATTATGCAGCAATGTGCTCCTGGACAACATTGTCAGTCAATACAAATTTTTCTATAAACATAATCATAGATGAATTTATGGGGTCATACTGGTTGCAACTGTAAAAGAGTCCCATATTTAGGGTAATTTATTAAAAAAATATAAAAAACAAACTCTGTGTCTTAAAATGAGGAGCCCCAAGAATTCAGGCAAGTTGGGCCCCTTTCATATATCAACCGCTGGGCATAGTTAAAATAAGGAGGCTTGTACCATACAATTAATTTTTATATAAATACACAAATTTCAATTCTATTCATATTAATATCTTAATGAAATATTTGTACTTCATTAAGATATTTATATGAATGGAATTGAAATTTGTGATTAATTCTGTGTGATATAATGATCATTAGTATTTACAAGTGTCGTTACTTACACAGCAAATTTGATTTGGTTATGATAAATGATGAGAGAAACCTGAAGCATAAAAGGAATTGTATGTAAGTATGGTCTAGCAATCCTTTGCCCTTCCCCTTTTACAAATTTTTAATAGCTAGCGACAATACTAATTATCTCTTTTCAAGGTGTTGCTACTCAATGTTAATCTGAACTGTCTTCAAGTTCCTCAATACAAGCTTCAATGAAATTAACTCATCTTTTGATTCTGAAACTTTCAGAATATTTCCTGTAATTTTAGGATCAAATTTCTCAGTTTACTCAAAAATACTGATTCCAAATTCCAGAAGATAGCCAGGAGCTCTACAAAATATTTACTCTTAATTTTCAACTCAAATTATCTTGTCAAAACAACTAAAAAACTATCAATACAACATTCACCTACTAAAAGAGAAATAAGATTGTCTTCTGTATCAGAAAATTTCATATTCACAGAGAAGAAGAAAAGGCAGAACATTTTCTAAACATGCATTTTCAGAATATCTTCTAGACAACATTTAGAAATTAGTGTCTTTCAATATGTGACAATAAAATTACCTTCTGGCTGTGACAATAAAAGTACCTTCTGTTCGACTGGCCTCTACTGAACTCCTTTTGTTTCTGCTTTTTGATAGAGATAGTTTTTAATGTTAATGTATGTGTGGATGCACACAGGAAATGCATCAATATAGTTTGGAGTTACGAATGTTTATTGTTCATATTTAACAGAAAATAGAACCCCAAAATACAAATCAGTGCTAATTTTTGGAATAAAAATTCTAGAGGAAATATTTTTCATTTAACAACTGAAACTATATAAAGAAACTTAAAAGCAAGAGAACTTTTATTAGACAAGAATGCAGAAGGTCAAGTAAAAAAAGGGGGGAGAGAAGAAATAATCCAGAAGGCAAAAGATCAACTACTGGTATCTTCTAGGAACTCAATGCATTAATTTTCATGGGAATCGTGATTATTCAGATGCAGTTACGGTCATGTTTTTCTTAAAAAGGAGGAGTGACAAAAGGGATAAAAAGAGAAGTAGAAAAAGTTTTGCCTGTGCTATATTTCTGTGGAGCACAAATTAAAACAGCCTGACTAAGAGAAAAGAGTGGCATATAGCTCATGGTTTTAGATCCTCTTTGAAGATCTGGGTATAGTTCTTGACTCTGCTACTGCATTAATTCAAAGAAACTTTGGCCAATACATTCACATAATCTAATGCCATCTGATTATTTTTGTGAGAAATATCTAAAAAGCTGAGTTCCCACAAACATACAATGAATTAGATGCTTTGAAAGCTAGCATCAACAATGCAATTTAGTCTGTAGCTATGGATGTATTGGTAACAGGGTTCATAGCCACATTTTAGTTCAAAAAATAAGCACTTATAAGCACTTTTCAAGCACATTTTAAGAAAAAAAATAAGCACCTGTCTAATTACATTATACACAACTGCATAACTTCAAAAAATAGACTCGTAATTTAAAATATGAGAAATGCAGCATTTATTAAGAGAGAATAAGCATGGAACCTCAACCATGGAAAACAATTACTTTTTTTTTAATTTTAAATAACAGTTTGATTTACAGAACTATACTTGAAAAAGAGGAGCGGAGGGGGGGATAGACTGTAGCCGTTCTTTAGATTTTTCCGCTAAAAAAATGCTTTTGACATTTCGATATGTGCATCATATAAAAACAAACCAACGGAACAGAAAAATATTCTGCTTAGCAAGCACAGTAAAACTCTTTTAAGTGTTCATAAACAAATCTCAGAACGAACATCAAAATTAATTATCTCTGCAAAATATCGCAAACATTATTGCGCAATACATGCATCGTAATTCTTCCCTACATGATATTACGGAATCGGATTCAACAGCTGCCGATATCGGTAGAATAAAGAACTAAATCGAGAAAAAGAAAGAGACTTGGGGTGTTTTTCATTCTAATTTTCAACAGACTGCATTAAATTTCCGGAATAGAATCATTCTTCACTTGGGTTGGTAGACCTCAAAACTTTCAGTCCTATTCAATCCAGATTAGAAAGTGACTGACAAAAAAAAAAAAAAAGTCCATTGCTTGTTTTGCAACGAACTGTAACAGTTTCAATATTCGAGATTTTGCGGAGAAAGGGGAGAACCTCCCAACCTTCGTACTGTATAATGTATTGGCCAAAAAATTGAAATTATTTTGACTATTCGATTACTTCTCCCTTTATTTAAGCCATTCCGAATATTATTAATTAGAATGCTAATATGTGTTAAAACACAACCATTTTTGGAGGTTTACTATACTTCAGCAGTTACTGCAACTATGTTATTATGAACATTCATACATATACTCATAATATAAGCATAACGGATCATATCATAATAAACACGAATATGAACTGACCATGCGGAACGAGGAATGCAAATTATTAAGGATCTTGATAGAAATTCAAACGTGTGTAGTATTTGGGTGGGAGGAAAAGAATGCCAAATGTACCGGAATTTTCTACTGCTTTCGCAATTCTTTGACCAACAGAACGACGGGCACCTGTCTGTACTCACCGCGCACACCAGATGTTATGTTAATGCAGAGAAAGGGGGAAAAGCTGTTTCCGGGAGTATGATTCACAATCTGACATTCCATATTAAGAAGAAAAGTTGTTTATTTAGTTTCGGCTTTGGTACAGGGAAAAATTGCACGTTCATTTTAAAAAAAAGCACTAAAAGCAAAAAATAAGCATTAAAAACAAAAAAAATAAGGGCTTTAAAGAAAAAGTAAGCACCTATAAGGGCCTTTATATTTTATTTTCAAATATAAGGACTTATAAGCACTTATAAGGACCGCTACGAACCCTGTGATAAGGATGTTCCAAAATATCATGAACTAATGTTTGGACATAAACGGTAACCACTTCCAACAAGTTTATAATGTCATCATATTTCTCCCAAATAAAGATAAGCCTGTTTCAGATTTAACTATAATATCTTTATTAATGTCAAAATTATTAAAGAAATAATGGGTTTGGTATCCTGTATTTAATAGACATAATCATTATAGAAATACAAGCTTTATCTTAATTGAAATTAAAAGAAATTAGAATCCATACATATGGTAACTTTAAGAAATTCAGTTTTAATGTTCTTTATTAGAAGAATAGCCTTTTTTTTATTATTTTCCATATTACATTAGCATCATTTATGGTACATTACAAGTGCTTTAGTATTATATTCTGCAGGGAACTAGCAATAAAATGATTACAGTGATGTGGTTAATATTTTTTAAACTATAAATATTAGTAATGAACATCATTTCCCTAAAAAGACCAACAGAAAACTAAAATCATCTGAAAGACTGGAGGTCATCTTAGAAAGGTATCACTGTATATCTAAAAGAGTAGTTCTAGAGGAAAAAATATTTAATAGCATATAAATTTGTTTTATAACTTTTATTTCAGAGTATTTATGATCCCTAAATAGTTTATTATAACATCTGGGTCTTACCTCACATACACCACATCGCTTTCGCCTAGGAGTATTGGTTGAAGATGCTTCTAACTGTTCTGTGAAGAAATTTTCAAAAATCATGCGAACTAATGGTGTTGTTGTAGCCAATGAATGTCCTGCCTTTTTCTTTTCTTTAGCAGGGCGATATTTCACAGCTTTCCGTAGAGATTGCCTAAACAGCAATAAATAAATCAGATGGTCATTAAGCTTTTACTAGATGCAATCCTAAAAATTAGAAATCCTGTTAGATGATATTTTAAATAAACTGTTAGACTAAATATTTCATTTCATAATAAATTATAAACACTTATTTTACATCATAACTTACTCCTCTTAGCTGACAGCAAAACAACAGCAATAATAATAACCTGTAAGCATACACTTAGGCAAAACTACCCCAGTCAGAAAGAATTCTGAATAAAGAAATGAATAAATTCAGAAAGTAAATATACATTACTCAGTGTCTCTACCTGTCAAGTGCCTTTTAAGACCATTCACCTTATATGCAAATGAAAATTATTTTAAAGTCACTTTTTTATCTCACTTTCTTGGGTATGATTTATTGATGTGCAAGAAAGTACATTTTGTGGTGAATATTTCTTCACTGTAAAGAATAATAAGCATAATAATAATTTTCAAAACACAACCTGCACAATAAAATAAATATTTATGCTGAATTATATGTATTTCTTGGTGATTAAGTTGTTGCAAAAGAATACTCTCAAAAATCTCAGAAAACAGTAACATGTACATGTTGACACAAACAACATAGAAAATTCTCAGTTATTTCCAACCTACATATTTAAGCAGATTCTTTTCTTATGTAAAATTAATTTTTCTTTTGTAATTAAGGTATAGCATAATTTGTATGCCATTTTAACTCGGAATAAATATTTACCTCACATGTACTAAAACTTCACAAATATATACATATATGCATGCTTAAAGGTTAAAATGGAATCCTAAATCACCATTTAAAAGTGCATCAAAATTCACTTACTTTTGAGAATCTAACATTTATCACTGTAAATTAGCATACACATTATAAATTATGATAAAATTATCATGTCTTGAAACATAAAGAAGATAAAATTTTTATTTAAGTTACAAATTGATAATTTTTTAAGACTCAGCACTCACTTTGTTTTCTCTAAAAATAAAACAAATTATTCTTCTTAAAACATAATACATTTAAAATATCAGATGGATTGATTTTAATAATTTGAACTGATTTGTAGATGCTAGACATCATCAAAAATCAAATGCACCTAAATTTTGATTTTTTCACTTGTGATAATTATTTTTAAGAATGAGTAGAGGGTTTTCAAAATGTCATTTTTGAAGCTTTGATACATAAAGCACAGAATGGCATTAACATTTCATAAGCTAGTTAACTTTTAATTTTTTAAAACAGGGGAAATTTTAGTCTTAGCTTGAATTAATTTTAATGAAATGCTCTGAGTATTTTCTGAGGCTCTGGATACAGGTCTCTCAGTCAAGAACAAATACTTCTTTAATGGATATGTCAACATTACACCTCATAAATGCAGTATTATTTATCATTAGAAAGTTTCAATATAATACAAAAAAATTAAATCATATGCATTAAAAAGTCAAGACACAAGAAATAATTGATAAATAAAGCACAGAATGGGCATTACGCATTACCTTATAGTTATCACTTGAAAGTCAACACAAGGCCCATTTATAGATTCCATTCCATTTCTACACTTTATTATCCGTCTTCGTTTGCACGTTCTTTAATGGCACGTTACACCGGGGCTTTTTTTAACTCAATATGCACAACGATTTATATTTAATCTATTTCTGTAGAAAAATACGGTAATACAGCTGCACCGATTATCTAGTTCCGTTTAACAACTTTAGCATTGCTGATGTTGCACAAACCCAAAATCGAATATATATCCGGCTTTTTGTTTTAATTTTCGTTAGATATTTTTATTGAAGATTTTTAGAATACTGTTAGGAGGAATTTCAAACATAAAATAATAGCTTCTCTAACCATTCCGATTATAGTCAAAATGCTGCTAACTTCCGAAACAATCGATATCATTTTCAAAGCAGTATGTTCGTGTCAAAGATTTTGAAAAAAAAAACTTGCTTAACAACAAAGAATATTCACAGCATGACGGAATAGTGACTCATAAAGTGATCAAAAAAAGTAAATTTATAACTTCTCAACATTTTTGGAAAGGAAGTCCTGTAGTCTGTGAAAAATTAATGTTTAACCAATCAATACATCTTCTTTTATAATTTTTGCCACACAGATTTAAACTTTTTAATCCGATTTCCACCAGAATGTTAACAACTGATACGCACAATCATATTCATATTGATCTTCACAAAAGGAAACAACTGTTACTACATCAGATCTCATCTGCAATGAATTGTCCCCTGTTTTACCTAATGATCAAAGTGTTGCTAAAGTACCAACTGTATCTGTAAATAAAATTGGGAGGAAAAAATCAACATAGCAGAACACAATACTTTTAAAAATATAAGGAATTTAAAATCTATCAGTAATTCATTATTTTTCACAAAGAAGCACAAATAAACCAAGCATTGATTGGTAGTGTCCCTGTTATAGATAGCCTAATCAAATAAAATTAGATATTGTCTAAAGCAAATAATTAAAAATAAAACATATCTTAATTTTTGATAATCTACAATTTATAGCAGCTTAAAGAACCAAATTACAAGATAAATGATTTACATTAAGTTTTGTTATATATATATATATATATATATTTGCAAAGAGGAGGAAATTTCTAAAAAGCAATTGCTTAAAAGTACATTTGACACTTTACATTTTTTACTCAGTAAATCCTGAGTAAAAAGTTACACTATGTAAAAACAACAATATAATACTAAAGAAGTAAAAGTTATCACATAAAAACTATAAAACGAGATAATTTCAAAAACAAAGAGGAATGAGAAAAAACTAATAAATTTTACATCAAAAATTAAAATTTTTAAATGATGCACGCAAATAATCAAAAACATTTCAAATGCAAAGAAAATATGTACAAAGAATTACATTAAAATTGTGTAATTTTTAACTAATAGCTTTTTAGCTATTTATTTTAATTTGTACATTCACCTAACTAGGCTTTCTTGTATAGTTTTTTTCTTGCTTAAGTAATTTTTACATATAGAATTTTAAATTGCAGGCACGTTGGGAAAAGAAACAAAACCATTGAGACTTACTATATTAAGATAATTTAGTTGATTATCCTATTAATGAAATTCCACTTTCAGTGTCAATTGTTTTCGTTTGACGAAACGCGCTAATGGTATTAGCTGGATTCGAGTTTTTGTGACGCTTTTCCCTTGATAAGTCCGTCTTAAATCTCAAGCTGGGGTAATTTACCATTTATTGCAATTCTTTGTACATATTTTCTGTGTATTTGAAATGCTTTTGATTATATGCGTGCATCATTTAAAAATTTTAATTTTTGATTTAAAATTTATTAGTTTTTCTCATCCCTTTTTGTTTTTGAAGTTATCTTGTTTTGTAGTTTTTACATTAAGTTTTTACGCAATAACTTTTACTTCTTTAGTATTGTATTGTTGCTTTTACATGGTGTAACTTTTTTACTCAGGAACTACAGTATCAAATGTACTTTTAAGCAATCGCTTTTTAGAACTTTCCTCTTCATTGCAAATATTTTAAAATTTTGCAGCTCAATGTGCAAAATTCTTGACCACATAGGTCTCTCTTGTTCATGTAATACTTATATAATTCAAAGACTAAATTAAAAACCAAATGGAAGGATTTTAAATTAAGAATCCAACGTTATTGCTTCTAAGATAACACATTTATATTTAATATTAGAATTTAATTATTACTTTCTAGGAACAATATTTCAAAATTATTTTAACTTAAATAAAGTACTAACATGCAACTCAACTAATTTAGAAGTGTGAAATATAAAAGTCAAATAGGCTGATTAATAGTAGCCTTTAAATATACTACTAAAATTTCCCTGAACTTATAAAATTATACAAATGAAGTAGAATATTAAAAAATTTTTACAATAGAAAAAAAATATAAAAATGTAAATTAAATTATTGTTTATATGCAAAAGAAGAATCAACTTTTCAAGAGGAAATTATTTTCTTTTAGTAGATGCACATTAATTTGGGCATTGTTATGTTTTGTCACAATCAATGCTTGAATACAAACTAATAAATCACTTTTGCAAACTAATAAATCACTTTTGCTAAACACAAAAACAAAAATTAAAATAATTTAAAGTTTAAATATGTATTCAATGATGCTAGATTTTTCCGACATGATAATGGAACATGTTTATAATAATAGTATAGAAAAAGGGGGAAAATTAAGACCAAGGAAAAAACAATGCAAAACTGATGCAATAAAATATATGCAAAAAGGAAATCTGTAGCTAACTTAACTCAGTTGAGTGCATTAAGAAATAAAATGATTAAAATAAAATGATTTTCTAATACTTGAAGCTAAATTCATGCAAGAATTATGTGTGTAAAATGTAATATACAGTAATGCACACTGAAATGGAAATTTTCTATAATTTACTTTAATGAGTTTGCATTGGGTAAACATATTTCATTTAAAATGCTATCCTGATGGAATAAAAGTGAACAATTGACTCATTATACTTTAGCTTTATTTTTAAAGTTGATGACTATCAGTCACCAAATGTGGTAGAGTAATTAAATTGCATCACAAACATCTATGCAAGGATAATATACATAATATTTAATTGTGTGATGCTAAAGCTGCGGGTGTTGCCGATTTTGTGCAATTCTCAGTTTTTTTTTTTTTTTTTTTTTTTTTTTTTTTTAATTAAAACATTTTTTTAGCAATTCTTGTTTTTTTAAAAAAATCTGAAAATTGAACAAATTCAGTATCATGCACAATGTTAGCATATATTAAACATTATATGTATTGCATTCTAACATATAAAATAGTTATTCTTTTCGTGAAGTATCATATATCATCGGGGTTGATGCCATTTAGTTAGGTTTTGAGCCAATGTTTATGTTTGGCACTAGGTAGCACTCAAGTAATAGAAAAGTCCTTTTTGTCCTTAAGCATATAAAAATATATTTTTACATTTTAAATCAATCTTAACCTTAAGACATTATAAGAATTTGAAATTAGTTGCAATCCAACATAATAAATTACATGAATAGCACAGATAACAACAATAACTCAAACAAACAAAACCCTGACTGCAGATATTTTCAAAATATACATCTCAAAGAAAATAACTAATATAATTACATCTAATTTGTTGAGGAGATCCTCATATGTTGCCTCGCTGTTGGATGTCAGAAGTTCAATAACTGCTTTACTTATATAAATTTTTTCCTCAACAGTATCCATGAAGCTACGATACTGTTCACTAGGTTTCATCAAAACATACTCAGCAAATCCTTTAAAAGCAAAAATGTTATGTAAAATACATATAAACAAAATCAATCTCTACTTTAATATTTAAAATATAATTCAGATAATGAAAATTTTGTAAAATGAAATTATTACTTACCAGTACCAAAGCCAATTAATGCTTTTTCGCCACCATCAAAGCCTGAGACCCACCATTCAATGATAGGACCTAAAGACCTAGCTGGAACACCACCTGAAGAAAATATTTCCTATTAAATAAAAGCCACCTATAATAAGAAGACAGAATTTGATTGTATGTTGCATAGAGCAGTACAACATAATCTGGCATATATGTTGTCTGACAGTGAATGCATGTACCTCAAAGTGATTTTTTGAAAAATAAAATCAGTTTTTTTTTTTTTAATTTTTTTTATTTTTATTTATGAAGAAATGATTTTTTGGGAGGGAGGAGTACTTCACACACATCATTACTCGACAGACAAACTAATAATTGCCTAATTTCAATGTTTACAATTTCAGATGGAGGGAGACTTTTAAATGAAGTTTATATGAAATTTTGGTACTCTTGTGTTTTGGGGCCGTAAAAAAATTGCAGCGAAAATGTATGCGCAAAAGCGCCAAATCTAGCAAATGCACCCATTTAACAGCGCGCCAAATCTAGCGTACACGCTGGTTTCGGATTGCGTAAGTTTATATACAAGACACCATTGAAATACTAGTTTAATTTTTAAATCCTATTTTGATATCCTATGGATTAAACAATTTGGGGAATTGCCCATGATGAAAAGTCGGCAATAGAGTTTTGGGTAAAGTGCAGAATCACTCACTGCTTGACGCATTTTTAAGAATTGCACATACTCGGCATCCATGTGCACATTGACCTATTTTCACTTAAAAAAAAAATCCCAGAAATGCACAAAAATGACACTGCGCCCCCCCCCTTGACTTTATCTATGTACACATCAACCTATTTTCATTTAAAAAGTAAAATAAATTTGACAAAAATCTAATCGTTTTTACCTTTGTAAAAAGCGGCAAACAAATAAAGTGGAGCGATTCTTCCCTTTACCGAGATTTTTTCAAAGAAAAGGCTCATTCATTATAGAAAATTATGTTTGAACAACCAAAGGAGATGAAATCGGGCTTTAGCGATAACTCGGTAGCGAAATAGCGATGCAGGAATCCATTTCAGTTACGTTTAGCTTTCTCAATTTATATAAATTATAATAACGATCTGAAATAGTTATTTTACTCTTATGCTTCCATTCAGTCATTTTAGCCTTTTTCATATAAATTATAATAATAAAAGTTATATGAAATTAACCTTTCATCTAAATTAAAACATCAATCTTAAATTGTTATTTACTATTATACTTCCTTTCTTGCCGCAATTATTAGGGTTGCCACAATTATTTTTGGCAGCATTGGCATCAACAATAGTTTGGTGATTTTTTATGGCCCTCGAAACCAAATAGTACCTAAATTTTTAACACTTTACCAACCATTAGCGGTTCAACAGCATATGCACATCCGACCGGCCGCTCAGCCGCAGATTCTCCCTGCTCTGAATAACTGTCAAGACAATCTGATAAACTGTCTAAATAAAACTCTCCAGTACCATTTTTTTCGCTCATTGTGAACGGTAAATTTATTTAAAAAAGTTTAAAAATGTGGGAGTTTTACAAAGCAACGCACTTAACGCAAGTGAGCAATGTACCTCAATACTAATAATAAAATGCAGATGATATAGCAAATGGCAATTGTTTATCACCATGGCTACCGATTGATATGCTATTTTTAGGTAGCTTGAGAAAAAGTAATTAATAGGCTATCGGTCAGTAGGTATTGGCGAAAAAAAGTCGATTAATAGACTATCGGTCACTAGGTGTTGACGGAAAAAAGTCGATTAACAGGCGATCGGTCGGTAGGCATTGCCGATTAATAGGCTATCGGTCGGTAGGCATTGGCGATAAAATGCTGAATAATAGGCGATCGGTCGGTAAAGTGTTAACATAATTTAGATATTTTTTGAATAATCACATCTCTATTAGTTTCAAATTTCACATCGAAAAATCTTGGTGAAATACCACCTTGAAATTTTGCAGGTTATAACACCAATCTTTTATCTGCTTTAAGTAAACTATTGCTTCCATTTGATCATTTGTAAGCAAAATCTAATCGTTTACACACTTTTTAGCTCAAAGTTAATTATAAATACTACTAATTTTTTAATTATCCTAGTCTCCCATATAATGGGCAATGATAACTATAATGCTCATATTCACATCAGATTTCATGCTTGATTTGAAAATATTGCACTAATCATAATCTACCCTCTGGCCATATAGTGTTTCTGATTCACAAATCAATGACAAAAATCATAAAATTTTTAAAGCAGTATATCTGTAGAATTCCGAATAGAGTGTTAAGTGTTGCCATACATTTCTTTTTATATCTGCTATATTATTTCTTTAAATATGATACATAGTGATAACATTTGGTGACAGCATCCTTTTATTTGAAGAGTAATTCGACACAAAAGTGAAATGAACATAAAATTGAGAACTGAGGTCTTTTTCATAATAATAGCTTATTTTCACAGTATTTAGTACAAGAGCTTATTTTCATTGCATTTAGCATAATTCCAAGAATGCATTCAATATTTATAAACATATTATGTTGATTTCAATTACATACCTATTTTAAATACCAAATCTAAGATGTTTTAGATTATCTCATATATTTTTTACGAAAGTCTGTTCTGAACTTCAGGTAAAGTATCACTTCCAGTTTATCAGTTTTAGCCACATAAATAATACTAAAATTGAAAAGTTTGAGGTTATATTTTAATGTAGATTTTTATTAAAAATTGTTATGGCTTCAAACAAAGCACCACTCCTAGTTGTCCATTAAAGATTATAATGGGGGTCCCTGTTAAGTACCACTTTTGAATGTCCAGTTTTACCCAAAATCTAATCAGCTCTTCATGTGAATATAGAATACTTAAATATGGAAAATGGAAATTTTTGGAAGTTCCATATAAGAATTATCATGGATGGAAAAATCGTCACACACATACATGCAAACAGCTGGAAATCACTGTAAAAACAATAAACTTGTTGTGAGGACCCTAATTCATGGTTATTCACTGAAAACTCATTATCAAATTTTTAGACCAAAAACGTTACCTCCCCCTTACCTACGTAGATAGGTTACTTATAAAGTAATATTTTAGTAAACAGTTAGTTTTGAATAATATATATATATATTTATTCAAAAGGAAACTGCAATGACTTTCATTATTACATACACAGTTTACTGCTCAGGTTACTGCCTCATTTGCTACAGATGCAGTATTTATATGCAGAGGCTTTCAGCAACCTGAAAAGGATCCTACACGATAAAAAGTCCAATAAATGCTGATTCATATGAAAAATGAAAGATTATTAAACTAAAAGAATAAATACCTTTAAAGAATGTATAACTTCTCAGAGAATTTGATGATTTGTTTGAAATTTCTAATATTTTTCATGCACACTGAAATCAAATAAAATTTCAAAATGATTTTATGAAAATGTAACAATTGAATTTTACCTTCAGGAGAAGGATCATCATCATATATAGGTTTAACAACTCCACTCAAATATAACTCGACATTTCTCTCAATAAGGCCTGCATCAAATGGACAAAGATGAGTGTTGCGATCGTAAACAGTAAAATCTGTAATTTTATGTTGAGGTCTTTCACAAACATCCGCAGATTCATATTCACCATCAGTGTGAATAGATAGTTTTGGATCAGTTAACATTATGAATTCTTCAACCTAAAAATTAAATTATTTACTAAAGATTTTTTAAAAACAACAATTATTTCAACATCACACTGGCATTAATTTCACCATAAAATATCTCAGATATACAATTAGACAAAAATGTGGTCCCCCTTTGTTAGTAGTAAAATAATTTTAGATAGAAAGAAGAATGGATTGTATAAGTCTCCTAAAATGCAATTAGCTTTGTTATATCAAAAATATTCAACATTATATTGGCTAAGCATAAATAATAACATAAATAGATAAGGTAAATAAATAACAGATAAATAAGTAATAATAAATGAGTAAATAAAATTAATAACAGATAAACAAATAACAGATAAATAAGTAATAATAAATGAGTAAATAAAATTAAATTAACTAATGTAACACAATATTCAGAATAGAAGCTTAAGCCAGTTTTCATTTCATTTAAGTGGAGAGCTCTTCTTGCAGAAAAATATTTACATAAATATTATACATATAGATGGCCAACATTTTGTAGCATTCATCCCACAAAAGTTAGCTTTTACAAAAGACCTGAATTAACATCTCTCTCTTTTTTTTAGAAGGGGGGACTGAAATAACCTGAAAGAGAGCTTTTTTAACCCTCTCCCCAAATGCAAAAAGTATAAGTGTGATTTAGCATTTGTTTTATGCAATGATTGTAGAAAAGCATGACTGAAAACAATGTAACATATGGGTTTAAGAAGTTTTTCAATAGTGAGATTTTTATAGTGAAATTTTGATTTCCTTGCCTGTGTGTATATATATATGCATGTGTGTGTGCATGTCAGACAAAAAAATATTTAAATCAAAATTATAATTTAAATTAGCAATAGTCCTTGATTCCCCTTTTCTTTTCTAAAGATTGTAATAACTTTTATTGGCTGCTTCATTTCAAGATCAGTTTATCTCGCATGGCTTGCATAACATTGATGACGTAGCTCAGTCGGAATTTGAACTCAAAATTTTGAGAACTGAAACTTTTCTAACCTAAACCAAAACATTCCCTTGGTGAGCTTCCATAGTACATAATACAACACCTCGTAACAGTAAAAAGCCAGGACACAGGACTGTGACGTCAAGAGTAGTTGTCCGAGCCAAAACTCTGAAAACAAAATGAAGCAAAATATGCTGCACATTAATCCTGTACTTAACATTGCTTTTACTATTTGATCTAGATGCTTGGATTGGATTTTATTCAATGATTCAACATTTGTGTTCTTCATAAACAGTATGATTAATATTTCTCAGATTTTAATATATTAAGGAAATGAACAAGTAAGACTTTTATAAATCCTTTGGCCAAAAATAACGGGTAAACATTCATACTTTTTAGGTAATATTCAAAAATAAAATAAATAATAATGTCTATGGTTAACTAGAGATGTCTGCCCTAAGAAATTTGCTTCACAGGGAATTACTGCGAACTACAAAACAACTCGTTGCTGTGAACTACAAAACAACTTGTTGCTACAAATGTATTAAAAAACATATTGTGCATGAAGACGGTTGTTATTAGAATATACCTGAATTTCTATCAAAATAACTACTTGTCTCTTATTAAAAAATGGATTGTAGATGTTCTGTAAAAGATAAGTATTTCCTTAAGATCGTCCTTTCTATTTCATGATTTATATAGTATTCCTTTTTATTTTAGATTTAAGGAAATATTTGATAATTTTCTAGAACTGGCTATGATTTCAACCTTTCGTGTATATTAATGTTAACTGCTTCTTTAACTTTACACCAGATGTTCTCAACTAGAAGAGAATTTTTCAGTTTCAAGTGAGAATGCAGTCAACTTTTTATTTACCTGTAAAGTATTTAGTTTTAATTTATGAATATAAAAAGCTACTTTCATTCAAGTTTTGGTATTTATCAATATTTTCTATACTTTTTTCTCATTTAATTAAAAAATAATTTAAATTAAAAAAAATGTGTATATATTTTTTCAAGTTTTGGAAAGGAAGGGGACATACGCTAGTAATGGTGAAATGGGTGCAAGAGGCCAAAAAACAATATGAGAATCAGTTTGGCTTATGCAAGGCTTCCCAGGAATGCTCTGTTTTCATAAAACAATAGAAACTTGTGAACAAAGAAAAACTAAGCTGGAACTTACTGATTTTAAAGTTTCAAATGTTTTCATTTCTTGAGAGAAAATTATTTTCCTCTGATGCTTTGCATTTTTCAAGAAATTTATTCTATATATTATTTGCAATAAAATTGAATCTGATTGTTTTACAGATTAATACCTAAATAATCTATCATTATTTTTTCAATTATGTACACGTCACTTGCCTTTTTTATTTAAATATATAAATAATGGTAACTTTGAAATGTGTAAATAAATGAAAAAGACATCAAGCTATAAAAACTAATAAGAAAGGGGATACATAAAATTTTTCTTACTTAATATTATTGGTAAATTATTATACTATTATTATTGGTAAATATTATTATTATTAATATTATTGGTAAAAATATATTTTGCACCATTTCAAAAATAAACACACATAGAGCTTGCAAATGATTTTCAAGGCTTCAATCAGGCCTTGAAAATAATGTTTTGCATTCTGTATCCTTTTGTATATTTTTAAAATGTATTTGCACTATGGCATAGAAGTTTCAAAACACAAGTTATTTATTCAAATTACATAATTATTCAACTTCAAATAAGTAAATCTAACATAACTAATGAGAAACTTGTACTTTCAAATTATCCACAATCCCAGTTTTGACATTAATTAATACTATGTTTCTAGTATAACTTAAAGTACACAAGCAACAACAATAACTAACCAGCACATGCAACACTCCACATACATGTCTGAGTACAGGTAGATTTACTCACTTTATATTTAACTGTTATTTTGCTTGGCAGAATCCAACAGTTTAAAAATGTAAATATCAGTTATATTTTTGTTCCCCCTCCCTCATAAAATTGCTCATTCCCTATGAAATACTTATTGTTATTTATAAATAGAAAAATACTCATGAACTGCAAATGTAGACAAGCATTTTCTACAAATTCACCAATAGATTGCCAACTTTTCATAGAGAGAACAGTAATCAGAAAGTATATTTTTAGTATAAAGAAAAGTACACTTCTGTAATATACTACTGCACTAGATACAAAACTTAAATCAAATCAAAATTGTTACACATTTCTAGAAAGGTTATATATATATAATTATATATATATATATGAAGGTTATATAATATAATATAATAATATATAATATAATAAAGGTTATATATATACAATACATATAATTAAGTACATACTGCATTTTCAGGATCTCCTAAGAACAGTTTTAAATCTTCACTATTCAAATACTGTCGACAATCAGGACACTTTTTTGGCAATGATAAGCATTTAGGTGAACTAGATTTTTCCAATCTGAAAATTATCAGGAAAAAGAAAATTAATAATATACTCAGATCTTCAAGATCTTTAACTCATCATAGTTAAGACAGTGAAATAAATAATACATATGTTTTACAAAAACTAATACTTAGCACTAATAGTAAATCCGAATAGAAAAAAAATTAAACAAATAAATAGCTTAAGCTGCTATATTAACTCTTCCACAATGTATCTAATTTTTTCCGAAACAGTGGAGAAGATAAATTTGAAAAAATTTAAAGAACAAGTGTTATTGCTAGTATACCCATAGCAAAAATATAAAATGCTATAATTTTTTTAATTGCGTTGTGAAATAAGATAATATATTTAATGAAGTAAATGAAACAATGTAAATTGTCACAATTAATCTATCAAATATGATTTATTTGTTCATATAAAAATCGTAAATTTTGAGATTATTTACAAATAATTAAGTTCCCAAGCTTCAACATATCAGTCAATTACCCATGATCACAAAAATTTTAATATGTATGTCATGTAATGAAACTTTTAACATATCAGGTCATTATCCATAGCCATTAGAAAGTTCTCCCAAAAGAGATCAATAATTTGGTGGACAGAGTTTGTCATAATCTTTACTTTTTGCTTAATTTTTTATAAGGGAATGCTTTGCTTCCCAGGCATTCTCATACAGAGAATAGAGTACTTATGTATTAATGCAACCACCTTACTAAAAGTTGTCAAATTTTCAGAATGTGAATAACCATTCTTCCAGCAGCTATGCTTGTAACAACAGTCCGTCAATCAAGCAATGCCGTGAATTTCATATCCGTTCTTATTTGTCGTATTCCAAGTTCCAATGATTATTATAAACACATCGTGATATTTTTTGCCTTAAACTTAGTTTTAAAATATCAGCTCGTAGAATTTTTCAGCAATGGAAAAAAATTGCTATAAAATTTTTGCAGGAAAACAAAATTTTGCCGAAAATTTTCTAATGGGAATAATGAGGAAATGTGTTGCCTAAACAACCAACACTGCTGAGGTTTGCATGAAGCTGATTCTTTGCAATTCTTCGATATTTTTTTAAGAAAAATAGATCATTGTGTACTTCAGAAGAATAGCACAAAATTACAAAAAAGATTTGAAGAATGTAGATGTTTTATTTTTTTTTTAAATTTATCATAAAATTCTTATTTAGTAATTAAAATTTGTATTTTAAATTGTTAAAGTATGTTTTCTTTTCATTTCTTAATAATGTTTACTGACTTACGATAAGCATCGACAGTTTGGAAATCTTTCCAAAAAAAGAAGTATGAAAACCATTAACTTACACCTGATAAGTAACTTCTACCTTTTCATTTGTAAAAAATCGCCAGACATCACCCAAAAGGTTGTGCTAATATGCAAGTACCAAAAATGGTTTAAATCTAACTATCATAGATATCCAATTCCTACATATCAGGCAAGGTCAAACTGTAGCTCTCCGGCCTCTTAATTGCAGCCAAGCCACATGAGATTCTTTGGCCCTTAACATGAATTTGCTTGTGACAAATAAAAGTTTTATTTTTCAAATACAAATGTTTTTTTAAACAGATATACTTCATTTGCAATAGGTCCAATATTTTGTAATTAACACATTGGCAGTTGCGAGAATAAGCAATTCTTTCTTCCGAGATATGCATTATACCTGTCAGTCGTAAATTTGTAATATGAGATGGATTCATTTGCACCTACAGTGATGTGTAACTGGAATGCGAGCTGAGCTCGTTGATGACCATCAAAAGCTAAAATGAAAAATATGAAATACTCATTAATTTACTTCAGACATTTCTTTTCATGAAAAAGTTTAATTAAATTTATAAATAAGGCATTACTGCTCTCGAAATTTTCTAAATCCTTACAAGTGGCCTCTACTGTAACAAATTTCCGCCACCCTGCTTTAAATGATAGGCAGAATCAATTTGTAATACATATACTGAATGATTTCCCATAGATAAATACATCAAACTTTCTGAGTGGATGTCTCATACCTAGAGATTAAACACATCTTTGTTACTTTGTTACATCTTTGTTTTACACATCTCTTTCATCTCTGTTAATTTGGTCATTCTTTATTGAAAACCAAAGACAGCTACAGTGACCTTACCTTGCAAAAGTAAATGCTGCTTACCATCCAGCAGATATTCTAGAACGTGCTTTTAGGGACAAAGAGGTTGGGAACAACTGCCTTACATCATTATCTTTAAGACACAATAACACGCCGAATAAATACTAATTCAGAAGTCAAACAACAAAAATCAGCGTTAATTTACAAAATTTTCACAGGACTAGTTTCGATGGTTTTACCGAACCATCATCTTCAGCTGCAAAACCGCAAATGAACAAGATAGGAAATAATGTTTAGATAAGATAAGAAAAGCCTGGACAAGAATAAGCAAGTGGCGCCATCTGTTGGCGAAACCAGAACTAAAACATAATTTCTTTCTCTAAAAGCCGAAGGCAAATTTGGATTGGAATTAGGATCGTTAACTAGAACAGAAAGATTTTTATGAATGTGAAATGCCTCTAGAAAATCCAGTTCTCCAATGGAAGATGTTTTTTGAATAATTTTGGCAGCAGAAAAATTGAAAGTGTGATTTTCGGACCAACAATGTTGAGCAACAGAAGACTTCTGTGTTTCCTTTTTTTCTAACATATGCCTCATGTTCTTTGACGCGAAATTTTAAGGCTCTCTTAGTTTGGCCAATGTAAATTAAACCGCACTGGCAAGGAATCCTATAAATACCCCAGGAATTCATATCCGGAATGGGGTCCTTGAGTATAGAAGTTGGAATTTTATTGATGGGAGAGTAAACAACCCGAAAGTTAAATTTCTGCAAAACATGTGCAACTTTATAGCTAATTGATGGAAAGAAGGGAATGAAAAAAACATCTTCCATTGGAGAACTGGATTTTCTAGAGGCATTTCACATTCATAAAAATCTTTCTGTTCTAGTTAACGATCCTAATTCCAATCCAAATTTTGCCTTCGGCTTTTAGAGAAATTATGTTTTAGTTCTGGTTTCGCCAACAGATGGCGCCACTTGCTTACTCTTGTCCAGGCTTTCTTATCTTATCTAAACATTATTTCCTATCTTGTTCATTTGCGGTTTTGCAGCTGAAGATGATGGTTCGGTAAAACCATCGAAACTAGTCCTGTGAAAATTTTGTAAATTAACGCTGATTTTTGTTGTTTGACTTCTGAATTAGTATCATTATCTTTGCTTAACCCCTTAATCTACAATGAGCGGGCCAAACCTAACTTTCACGGGCGTAGCCCGCGTACGATGGTCGGGCCAAACCTAACTTTCACAGGCATAGCCCGCGTACGATGGTCGGGTCAAACCTAACTTTCATGGGCATAGCCCGCGCACGGTGATCGGGTAGAAGTTAATATTACGTGGAATATTTGATATGCAATTACAGTCTGATACAATAATTGTGGTAGACGCAAGTATTACAAAATGTTTATTTATACAAAACTCCAAACTACAAAATTAGTAATCTATAACGATATGATATATTTCAAAGCATTCTGGTACATGTAACAGAAATTTACACTTTTTACACTCGTGTTCTATGTGGATTTTCTCGTACTTGATCTGCATACTGATTCGTTTCAGTTACAATATTGTTCCAAAATATGTCATCAAATATTAAATTAAATATATCAAATTCTCCTCTACTTCCTCCAAATTCATATAAGGCTTCCTCTCTTATGTCAGGAGTCATCGTATAGTCCCAGATTTTTGGACTATTTGTTATTTCTTTTCAAAGATAGGACTCTGGTAGATGATTGTCATTGAATGTATCATCAATAATTATTCGCCTATAGTTTTTTCAAAAATTACATAATTCGCCATGTTTACGATTGCCCAGATTAGCGAGTTACACAAGTCGTGCAAATGTCCCGAACGCTGCGCGAGGTTGTATACAATTTCGGCCCAACATCTTCGAATCTAAATTGTAGGTTAAGGAGTTAAAGTGCTGCAACACTGAATAACACTCATTCATCTGGAGATTACACCTTCAGGCATTAATAATAATATGTCTTTTTTTGTTTCTGAATAATATGTCTTTTTTTGTTTCTGAATACAAACTGCAGTTTTTCCAATAATAGATGTATATCTTAATACTTTAAAAAATACATAATATGATCTCTGCTCACACAAGGGCCAAATACGCTAAATCAATATCAGCTCAGCCACTACTGTGGCTGATCATTTAGTCTAACAACATACATACAAGCGGTAGTTTTATGTGACCACATGTTTGCATTATTCCATTTTTAAACTTTGCGCTGTGATAAGAACATTCTTCATCATAATTTTCCATTACCAGAGGTTATGCAAGAAAACTTTTGAAGTAACACCTTTGAAATGTGACAGCCATGAAAAAGAAGAGACGGAAAAAGAGAGAGAAAATATTTATAACAATTTCCATCAAAAACTGTGCAATATATTTATTATAGAATAAACACACAGGTTTATTTACAATTTAAAATAAACTTGCAAAAGATTTAGCTGCTATAAGTAATGATTTTATTTCAGAAAATAAGCTTTTATAATTAGAACAAATAAAAGATGATTAGTATAAAACAAAGGCAGCACTAAAATCCATATAGTTAAGCAACTTACTTTCTTTCCTTACAGCTATTTGCCGAATCATCAGCTCCATTTTCATCTTCATGTTTTCTTTTATTTGCAGTCCTACAAAAAGTTATTCAGAAATGCAAAATCAAATTCAGAAAGAAATGCAAAACCTGTACTAAATCATCCAGTTTTAAACTATTTATGAAGATTAACTGGAATTACACATAATATAGAATCTTTTCAATTTTCATTCAGTTATTTAGTTATTTAATAATTTTAATCTCATTCACTAACAGAAATACTACATTCTCACAAATAGAAATACTATAATTTTTAAAGTCTCATATAATAAACTTACTTAAAAAGTCACTGTCCACACTATTAATTAAGCTACTTATAAAAATACAATTTCTCCTCTATCTGCTAAGAATATACCATTTCATAAGCAAATGTACAGCATTTATTATCAAAACAATGCTCCAGAAGTACTCTGTTTTCTTTAAGTATCTTATTTTTAATTTTCCTTTTTTTTTTCCTCCAGTGTAAAAGTAAACAAATGGTAAAGCATAAAGCAGAAGTTGGCAAATCTATGAACTGGTGACATTGTATGACTAATAAGGAATATATTACTGATATTAAGTATATATTGTTACGTGAAGTACAAGCGCGGTAAGATAGCTTCCCCACAAAGCAGTTTTAGGGTTGCCATAAAAATGGCAAAGAAAGGCAGAATTTCCACATTTGGTGAGAAATCGCCTATTTGGCGACGAAATAGGCGATATACCATTGACGGATGGAGAACCTTCTGGAACGAATTCTTACCGGTTTAACCCTAAATGTCTCGAACACAAGCTAAAAGCTACATAAACCCTGCTGGTCTGCAGTCAGTTAGTGTGTGTGCCTCGTCTAGAGTGCAAGTTAGTCAGTATCGAGTTAGTATCTCGTCTAGAGAGTCAATCCCTGCAGAGTCGATTGAGTTGACAACTGGGCAGCGAGTGTCGAGTGGGTCGTCGAGTGCACCGAAAGAGTCTCGTAAAGTATTGTGGTTAGTGCATCGTCAAGAGAACGTGTTGAGCTCCGGGAACAACTGAACCGAAGAATCGGGAGTTTTGCTCTGCGTGTCATCGAGTGCATCGCAAGTTGTAGCGTGAAGAGTCTCGAGAGTACGTGGAGTTCCGAGAACGACCAAGTCGGGAGGTGTACTCTGGCAATTTGCAGTGAAGCTGTCTCCACCGCAATAGCCTGATAACCTGAAGGCTGTGTCGCTGATTGTTCCAGCAAGTGTATAGTAGATCTTCGACGACTGTAAAACATGACTTTGGAGCTGTCCTGATTAATATTGCTAAATAAAGTGTGTTTCGATACTTCATCATACGTCGTCGTTAATTCACTCCAAATCCATACGAATGTGAAAGAAGAAATTAACGTAACAATATTAAATGTTCACATTATATGCAACATACTGAAATATTGTTAACACTGTTAAATAAATCGATATCATATGAAGAAGCAAGTCGAAAAATAAGAAACGTATCTTTTCACATTTTTTATTGAAACTTAACAACACGTGCACAACATTACATTGGCATCCATAGCTCGCACACAGAGAAGAGAGAACTTGGTGTTGCCAATACGGTAAATATAAATGTACCAAACTAACACGCCTCCTTACATTTATATTTACTAATTACAAACAAACATAGATATAAGCAATCTTTTCATCTTTACCATTTACAATTAAGCATAGATATAAACAATAACATTCAACACTTAACACAAATTATTTTTAAAAAAGTTTCTTTCATTAACTTAAATGTTAAAATCAAAGTTAAACACAATTTAGTTTACATAAGGACATTACCAAAATCTATTTCATTTCAAGCAAATATATTTAAATAAACATCACTTAAATAAACAGTACACAAAATTTATTTCAATTTCAAACCTTCTCTAAATTTCATAAATTTAATCTTTCCTAAAGACTTAGTAAAGATATCTGCAATATTTGATTCTGAATCAATCTTTACAATTTCAATTACTCCATTTTGAACATTTTCGTGAACATAATGATATTGAACTTCTATGTGTTTTGAATTTTTAGTGAAGTTCCCATAATTAGCAATGGCCAAAGCTCCTGAATTATCTTCATAAATTTTAATGGGGTGAGTTATATCATCAGCAAAAACATCATTCACAACATTTTTTCAAGAAATTAATTTCTGTCACAGCCTCAGATAGAGCAATATATTCGGCAAAAGTGGAAGATTTTGTCACACAATTTTGCTTTTTGGATTTCCAGTAAATTGGATTACCAAATAATTCAATAACAAACCCAGTAGTTGACTTTCTGTCAACAATATCACCTGCCCAATCAGCATCAACATAACAATTCATAATATCAGTTTTAAGATTTTTACTATAGGTTAATTTTAGATGTTTTGTTAAGTACAAATACTTTAAAACTCTCAAAGCATATTTGAAATGTGTCTCATCATAACAATTTTGAAATCTACTTAAATAATTTACGCTGAAAGATATGTCTGGTCTAGTACCATGACTAATATACAAGAGTGCTCCTATTAGATTTCTATATTTGACATTTTGATTTAAATTAGATTGGCTTAGTTTAAGATTAGTCTCCATTGGTGTATCATAAAGCTTTGAATTTTCAATACCATACAGTTTAGCTAAAGATTCAATATAATTTTCCTGACTCAGTGTTAAGATATTACTTTTCTCATCATATTCAATATCAATTCCAATGTAGCTTTTTACTTTATTTAAATCCTTCATTTTAAATTTTTTATGTAGTTGTTCCTTAATATCATTAATTACCCGAGTATCTCTGCAACATATCAACAAATCATCAACAAATAAAAGAATATATACAAATACATCATTTTCAGATTTTACATAAAGACAATAATCATATTTACTTCTACGAAATCCTAGACTCTCAATATACTCGTTAAAGCACTCATACCAAGCACGAGGGCTTTCTTTCAACCCATATAGTGCTTTCTTTAATTTATACACTCTATTCGAATTATCATTATAGCCTTGTGGCTGTTTAACATAAACCTCAGACACAACATAACCATTTAAAAAGGCAGTCTCAACATCCATTTGATGAATATTTAAATTATACTGACAGGAATATGAAAGTAACAATTTTAAGGTTTGCATCTTAATGACAGGGGAGTAAGTGTCCTCAATACTATCTTTTTGCTGGAAAACCTCGAACCACTAATCTAGCTTTAAAAACATTACCTGGTTTTCTTTTGAATACCCACTTCACATCTAGAATTGCTTTATCCTCTGGTTTAGTCACTAGTGTCCAAGTGTTATTTTTAACAAGACTGTTCATTTCACTGTCCATTGCCTCTTTCCAATGTCCAGCCTCACTGCATGTTGTCGCCTCCTCAAAGTTACCTGGAACTGTAGCATCATCACAAAAATTTGCACTAACACAGTAGTACCCGAATTCTTCATGAAATCGAACTGGTGGTTTGATTTGCCTTCTTGGTCTCATTCCACTTTTTGTTTCATCTTCATTTATCACACTGTCCTTGGAGTTATCATTACTCGATTCACACGACACTTCTTGAGGTTCATTCTTCTTATTTGTATCATCATTCTTATCTTCATCATCATCATCACAACCTACACACATTATGTCTTCTTCAATAATATCAACATGTCTGGCAACTATTATTCTGTTATTCATCAAAACTCTATATCCAACTTCTGTATACCCAAGTAAAATTCCAAATTCAGCCTTTTTATCCCACTTCGACTTTCTCTTTTCTTCTGGTATTCTTACATACACTCTACTTCCGTATAATTTCAATTCATTAGCAGATGGTTTCCTATTGAAAAATATTTCATATGGTGTCTTCTTTACAATAGTATTTGTTAATGTCCTGTTTTTCAAATAAGCAGCAGCTTTAATTACTTCAGGCCAGTAACGTCTGTCAACTTTTGCTTCGGCTAAAAGACATCTTGCCATATCCATTATAGTTCTGTTGTAACGCTCAGCAGTACCATTTAATTCGTGTACATATGGTGGGCATGACTTTATCTTGAAACCTTTTTCTCTTGCAAATTTGTATATATCTTGCTATTCATATATTCACTACCATTATCACATCTTAGTTCTTTGATAGTCTTCCCTGTTAAATTTTGAATTTCATTTACATATTCAATTAAGCAATCAGAGACTTGATCCTTAGATTTGATACAATAAATTTTTGCCAACTTGCTATAATCATCAATAAAACTCACAAAGTATTTCTCACCATTACATCCAATTGTTCTGTGAGGTCCATTTACATCTGTATGTATAATCTCCAGAATATCTTCTGCTTTTCTTCTATTATTCTTGAATGGTAAATTGTGCATTTTATTTTCAATACATATGGCACACTTCATATATTCGGTTTCTATTTCTTTAGGGATTCCTTCTAATAGCTGATCTTTGCACATAATATCCAGATATTTAAAATTTACATGTCCAAATGAACGGTGCAATTTTTCTTTTAACGTTAACTTACTGTTGGTCAAATTTGCAAATATTTTACTATTTTTAACATAACTCTTTACTTTATATAATCTTTCTTCTTTCTTTGCTATTGCTACTAATGAACCATTGACATCATATATTTTAGAAAACTTTTCTTTTGAAACTATTTTATGATTATCAGTAATCTTCGAATAACTTAATAAATTTGCTTTCATTTCTTTTACATAAAATACATTCTTCAATGTTACGATAGATTCAGAGTTATATACAGGAAAAGAAACTATTATATTGCCAACCTTTGTAGCTTTCAAAATCCTTCCGTCACCGACTTTCACTTGAATAGGATCCTTCAAAGTGACTTGCTCTTTGAAATATTCATCACTGTTTATAATGTGGTCTGTGCATCCGCTATCCAGTAACCAATCGATTTCATTTTTATTCGTCACAGTATTTGCACTGGAACTTGTCATGTTACTTTCAATAACAGTGGTGTGAAAACTATTGCCTTGATGACTGTTTATTCTCTGGTTAGAATATGTTCCACGTTCACGATGTCCACTAAAAGCACGACTACGTCCTCGATTGTTTGAAGAACTTCGACCGCGATAATTAGTGGAGCCATTACAACGATAGTTCCTTTGATGGACATGCCAACAATTCTTTTTAATGTGACCAGGTTTTCCACAGTTATAACAGACATTCCCTTGTGGGCCCGATTTGCTTGTTTCAATTTTGAACGCATTTGATTTTTCTGCTGGTGCACAATCTTCATAATCATTTTTCTCTTCAAGTAATTTTGATTTGATTTTGCTCTTTAGGTAATCGACTGTTCTGTCCTTCTCTGGTAATACATCTATTAAGTCACCAATGTGACTGTAATTTGAAGGTAATGCTCTTAGCATATAGTTCAATTTTTCTTGTTCCGTCACGGTGGCGCCGGCATGTTTCAGTTCGTTCACATACTTCTCAAAATCATCGAAAAATATATTTACATCAGGATAATTTTTTCAGTTTCACACATTCTAAGTTATTTCGACAAACAATTTGTAGAGATGTTGAAGTTTTTAAATACATTGCATCAAATTTCGTAATTATATCAAATGCAGTCTCACACTCGTGAATATATTCCAATTGCTTGTTTGTTATGGCGCCGTAAATGTAATTTGTAGCTTGGATATCCTTTTCTTTCCCATTTTTCCACGTCATCATTTTCACTGACTTTTTCGCTGAACCACATCTTTACACTTTTTAAATTGAAGAAATTTCATCATACGCACTTTCCAATTAAAATAGTCCGAACCATCAAATAGCGGTATGCCGATATCGCTGCTTCTTGTACATGCCATTTTTACGCTAGTACCGGTAACTTTTAAAACAAATTATAACTACTAAATTCTTCATTCATATTCACAAACCACGAGAACTGCTACCATGTTAAATAAATCGATATCATATGAAGAAGCAAGTCGAAAAATAAGAAACGTATCTTTTCACATTTTTTATTGAAACTTAACAACACGTGCACAACATTACATCGGCATCCATAGCTCGCACACAGAGAAGAGAGAACTTGGTGTTGCCAATACGGTAAATATAAATGTACCAAACTAACAAACACACTTTAAAGATCCTTAATGTGTGTTGCCCATAATATTATTACTAGCATATTTGCAATAACATTAAGTTAATGACTGGAATGGTGCGTAGTCAAAATTCATTAAAATGCTTCTATATTATATATATTAATGAAAAGTATTTTGCACTAATGTAAATAAATTTCTGAGTTATATATAATGACTTGTATATGGTAATAATACAGGCAAAAAGTTATTCAACTGAAAGTCCGAAATCCGGACATCTATTATCCGGAATGATTTAAAATCTGGACCTCAAAATCACCAACAACATTTTTCTCGTAGGCTTTATGCATACGCATTTGATTCCCCCCCCCCTCCGTGCATAATAAAAATCGAGAGTCACGATTCTTAATTTTGCTTCGATACTAAATAAAATATCTTGTTATTGAAGAAGTAATCATTTTAGCATAAATTTGTATCATCAATAACTTGGCTCTGTAGCTGCCAAATTGCCTGCTTGGCTTACATCTGAAAACGAAACATTCTACAGTCAAAAGTCTTTAATTCGGACACTCATAATTCGGAATGATCTATAATCCGGACCTCAAAGCTAAAAACTTTCTGCGCATGCGCATAGGCGTTTACGCGTGCACGTAAGACTTTTTACGACTGCGCATATGCATGTGCGCAAGCGCAGAATACGTTTTCACGTGCGCGTTTTAGGTATAACGAACGGTATAAGCTAAAATTATCTAATTATCTATTTCAGTTAATGTTGATGATTGCGTTGTTCCTTAATCTTCGAATTGGATCCGGCTTTTTTTTTTTTTTTGCAGACTGTAAGAGAAATTTTATAAAAGTAAACTTGAACTTTCGATTATGTCAAATAGAATTTCCGATTCTGGAGCTCCCAAAGGATCGTACAAAACGAAAGTATGTTTCGATGTCCATCAAACAAAAAGTGGAATTGCTGCAAAAAATGGATAAAGACATGAAGAATGTGACAGAGAGGTTAGTGAAAACGAAAAAATTTCGATTGACAAGTTAGTCGGTATTCTTGGCACAACAATTACGGGACTTGAACAGCGGAACTTTGTAACTGAACAAGAAATTATGTCTGTTTATAGAATTAAAGAGAAAGTATTGTCACATAAAACGAAGCAACTTAAACAACTTACATTGAAAGAAATGTTTAATAAAGTAAACAAATAAATATTAAGCTTTTTCTTTTTGCAAATTTTGATACCCTTTAGATCATAATTGTTCTTTAATTTTATAATTACGGTTTCATATTTTTAATTTTAGAATTTCTGCATGCCATTTTACGAGATTTAAACTGATGATCTATAATCCGGAAAAATCGATAATCCGGAATCGCCGAAGTCCCGACGAGTCCGGATTAACGACTTTTGACTGTATATAGATACATCGTTGAATTTACACTTACTAATATTTTATATGTCCGATGCCAAGCTGGCGAATCATTATTTATTATATTTTGCTTTCATCACCGCATGTTTATCAGCTCATGACAACTTAACTAATGGCACATAAAGCGATGCATAAACACTTTTTTTTTATGTTAGTAATTGAATAACGAAGAGTATGGTAACCTTGTATGTTGACATTATGCTTGGCGATGATTACAGATGATTTAAGTTAAATGTGCTAAGAAATGTTGACGTGGAAAAAGAAGTTAAATGTGCTAAGAAAGTTAAGTTAAATGTGTTAAGAAATGATGACGAGGTTCTTTCCATATGCTAAAAATGGATTTTGTTTATGATACTCATAGGCCAAAAGATTACATTTAGTGCTCTTTGAATTACGAATAACTAATTTCTTCTAAGAAATGCTGACGAGGAAAAATTTCTTTCCATATGCTAAAAATGGATTTTGTTTATGATACTCATAGGCCAAAAGATTACATTTAGTGCTCTTTGAATTATGAATAACAAATTTCTTTTTCACATAAAGTCAGAAACAGGTGGCAAAATTTAGAGAAGACAAAGGAAGACGCTTGGTAGCAGAATTTAGGACCCGCAGAGACTGCATCAGGCAGTAAAATATCTAGCGCCGGCCCTCCATAAGCCTTAAGTATATTGGGAAGTTATTTATCCAGGACTTGGATAAGCATTAAGCGTGTGCAAGAAATAGACATAAGTATAATAAATAACTAAACTAATACATTACAGGCTTAATTGTCTTAGTGCACGATAGAAGCAAGATAAAATTTAACGGAACAACTTGTTGTTAGTCGCCAAGCTCATGATGCATAGCCAAATATGTATAATGAAGTATAGCTACATTTGATGATGATAGCCGCTAATTT